AGGAGACACGGATGCCATCGACTTGTCGCCAGGGCGGTCAGGCTCCCCTGTCCACTGTATCGTGCGATTCTGATCCCGTTGAAGAACCGGCGGACGGGGTAGGCGAGGATCCCGTCGTCTTCCGAGGATAGGATGTAGCTTCGGAGGTGAGGCGAGTAGACGACATTTTTGTTGGCGAGTCGGCTGGATTTTCCGGGGAGGGTGTCGGAATAGGGGGCGCGGAGGTCGGTGAGTTGTGGGGTGCCGGATGTGGAGATGGAGAGGAGGAGATGGGGAAAGGGGGAGGGGTAGGCGGGAGAGAGGGAGAGGATGTAGGTCTTGGATTGGAGAGTTGTTAGGTAGGGGGTCGGTGTTGGGGTTGGTGACAGGGAGAGATTCTGGCTTGAAGGGGAGGAGGTCGGTTGGAGGATGTTGAAGAGGTCGACAGAGCCTGAGGATGTGCCGCAGAGGAGGTCGGTTGGGGAGGCGAAGGAAAGGCAGGTGTAGATTGCGGATGCCGGCGTTGCGTTGAATGCGGCGGACTCGACGAAGAGAAATTGTGAATCAGTTCGTGTCGACCTCGGAACAGAGATGTCGAGTACCCGAACATGTCCGTCACTGGCGACTATACCAAGAAGCCCAAGATTGGCAGTCTCGGATTCATTCTCCTCTTGACCTGACAGATCTCTCGCTTCTCGCAGGACTGGACACCACTGTAGCTGTCTGATATTGCCCCAATCTGTGCACAGCACTTGTGCCAGCATTGGTTGCTGTGTCATGTCTAGGTTCTGCAATCCTTCATGTACCGGCCCACACCCAAATGCCCATATTTGAATTGAACTTGGATATGGTGGGGAGGGTCGAAACGCAGGTGCTCTTTTATCATTTGATGCAGGAACCGAATCCCTTTGCAAGGGACTGCATCCAGTGCTGACGGCAAGATACTGAATATCACTTCCATGACGATTTGGAGCCCAAGCAAGGCAATTAATCCTACTTCCTAGGTTCAAAAGCCAGCCTTCTCGATAACGTGAGCGAGTGGTCTGCGCTGTTGGCTCTGGATGTCCATCGTCGCTCATCTTGGCGCTGTTGGTGGCGTCTGGAATGGAGTGGCCCATAGTCGTCTTTGCTGCGACTGGCTCTGTTTCCCAGGCCTGTCCAAAGTCCATTGCTGATAGATGTGCTAAATGGTAGGCTCGCTGACTGTTGCTTGGCCCCATCACTATGCTCGAATCTTGTCCTGTGGTGCAGGTGATATATCTTTGTACTTGCATACCATCAATACCCTTCAATCTTTGTCGCTTCCTAAAGCTCTGACCGAGGTCTTCATGATACCAATCCCATCCGTCCGTCGCTTCATACCTTAAATCTTCTGCCGGCACGCCACACCTAGAAACGTCTCCATACACACCTTGTCCTGCAGTTTCAGCCAAACTCTTGCGGCTTGGAAAAGTGACGTCTCGCTCCCATCTCCACTGATCTCTTGCAAAGAGTAGAGCAATAACGTCTTCATCCTCAGGCCCTGCGAGGTCTCGCCAGAAGGTTTCTCTACTTGCGTGGCGATGTATATGTGGCAAACCCCTCGAATGGGTATCGGATTTAATATATCGAGAACTCTTGGGACCAGGTTTTCGTTTTACACCTTCATAGTCTTCTGGCTTCGAGATACCAGAAGTGGCGACCGACATATTCTCATCACTTTCATTAGGAGTTTCGATGTCAGAGCCTTGAGAAAGTCCTCGACCACTACCTGAGACCAATGAAAGATCGTCTTCTTCATCTGCCGAGACGTGCGGCTCCTCTGCTTTACTTGTGTCGAAGTCATCATCTGATATGGCAATTCCTGAATCTGAGCTGTCTGGAGATGTTGGGCGGGAAGACTCAGAAGACTCTCGTAGTAGGCGTAAGGTTTCTTTCTCCAGAAGATCATTTTGGTATTTCTTGTTTGCTTGACGCTGTCGGCCAGAGCGACGAACGGCGGCCATACTGGCCAGTCGTACGACAGGACGCAAGAGTCCTTAGTCAACGAAGGAAACAGTTCTGGTGCTGTTCAAAAGGAGGCCGATTGCCATTCCAGCAGCCGCTTCATTTCTACAGTTTCGAGTGCAGGATCAACACCATACAGAACACCTTGGCATTGGTATTAGTATTGTATTCATAGACAACAACGGCCACTACCACATATGCCTGATGATATCGGCCAAGGCGTAAAATCACACCGGGATAAAGAGATCACGGTCGAGGCGTGCCAAGAGAAACAGCTTGGCATTGTCTGCCCAATCACTACACGTGAAAAGGGGCTTAATTACCCAAAGCTAAACGTAGAACATTGCAAGGATACTCAAGTCTTGTCACTGCTTCACCCCTTACGAGAGACTTTCATCCGCAGTGACAGATTGCGATGAGTTTCCGGATCACGCTCTCAAGTAAGTTAGAGTTACTGTTCCAAACTAAAGGGCTGTGATCACAACTGCAATAGGCAGATAGGTGGTCCCGCAGAGCCATATACCGGGCTGTAGAGGCCGTAGAGCAGCAAGTCTTACTACAGTCATCTAGATCGGAATAGAAGAAGTATAGAAAGAACATGGATTGTAGAGATTGAGGTGGTGAATGTGAATGGGAAGAAGACTCCTAAGAATGCTATTTCGAAGACTTAGCAGGCAGTTGTTTATGATGCTGTGGAAGGTCTGCTCCGGGTATCGCGAATCGAAGAACACCTTCTGGAATAGTGCTGTTCACCATCTTAAGGAAAGAAGAGACAAAGTTGCCACCCAGGAAACACCCAAGTTGGTCAAGGAAAAAGGAGACCAAAATCCTGTAGAGCGGATTTCCTGCTCTCTCGTTACATTGTGAGACACTCTCTGGCTGAACATAAAACCACGGTGCCTATTATATATATCACCAAAACGGCGCCCTACGTCTCCTTGCTAGTGCCTGGCCCTGCTTCATTTCGGTTTCTCGCAAGCGTTTCAATCTTTCTATCATTGCCAATCTCTCCGCTCCCTCCCACCACCAGAATCCTACAGGTTGAGGGTAAGGTTGCACCATCGCGTTTGAACTCCTGCCCCACCAGAGACGCTGCATCCGTTTCGGCTCGTTCAATCCCGGTTCAGTGAACTGCGACATAAACCAGCGTAGACCTCCAATGGTGGGAGGCACTTTCTGGAGCTGCGTGGTGTTTTCATACTTGATGCATGCTTGTATGAAAGACAGGGCAAGCTCGGCCCAGGCAAGGACTTCTTCTGGCTTGGTACATGCTGGAGGTTTGCGGAACTCGATGGTTCGTCGGCGAAATAGTGACCAGAAATTCCAGGCATATTCTCTGTCATCTCTATGCTGCATAAGCCTTGCTATAACATCGACTTGCACTTCTCCTTCGATCGCCGCAATAAGCTCTGACCGGGATGTGTCCCCTCGAGCCACGGTCGGGCTATCAAGCCAATTGCTTTTCGCATAAGGATTGAACCTGCGACCTGGAGGCACAATAGCCTCGAAGGCTGGCTCGAAATATATACATGCCTGTGCGATCCGTTTGATCTCGGGTATAGTATAGAAAGGATCTAAAGAAAGATGAACGTGAGTCGAACATCTCCTGTTAGTTGTAATATGATACTGGTCTTGAAGATACTTCCATGTTGCTTCGACATCCTCTCGCCATTTCGAACCAGGATATGCCTCAAGGATGGGTGATACCATCTCAATCGGCCCTAATGGTTGATGGATGTCAGTGATAGTATGCCGAGCTGTCCCTTTCCAGGACTGAAGGTAGAGTTTTCATACATGGGGGGCAAGGCCTGCCAGCCACTGAAATGCTAGGTTCCTCGACCATACACCATTTAGCATACTGACAGGAGTCCTTTCTTTTAATAACGGTTAGCATTCGGGGGTGCCGACCCGGTACCATTTGATTGTGCTTCATCGCCAGAGCCGTCACAAATTCCGGGAGCATTGCGTTGTCACCATCTTCGTGACGGGGATCAAGCTCAAATTCTGATTCAATGCCAACTGTGATGGTGCGCTTCTTGGTTTCTGTTAGAGGCTCGGCACGTGGACCCAAGACGGCGTGCGGCGGTGACGACGGCACGGGAAGAACCGGTGGCTCCCAAGGCATTCCTATCGGTCCATGAGCTTGCCTGGTAGAAGATTGTACGCGTGCCCTGGGTGTACAAGGAGGATTTGCCGAAGCTTGTGAGCTCGATGGCCTTGTTTTAGTGCCTGCAGTTGGCGTACAGGCTATTGCTGCCATTATGAAGCTTTCACAAGACCGCTGAGGAGACCCAAGTAGTACCGCTCGATGCCGGTGGAAAGAAGCCCCTTGGTCCTGTCAGGTCGTGAAGCGAAGTAGCCGTATTCACCTCAGTCATATAAAGGCAAATGGATACTATGCACAGGCATCTATCCACAGTATGCAGAGAAGAAGCTGAGGGAGCAGCCTGTTGAAGTAATCATCACATGCCCTGAAACGAAACGCCACGCGAGATATGTAGCTCATTTGCTTGTTTTGGATTGTTTTGTGTGTTAGCTAAAGGAAGTACACTAGAATAGATATGGTCCGCAACGGGAAAGGTTGAGAGATCGGATTTAGTATGTGACAGATCTCAAACAGATGTGAAAACAACCATCAGTGCCAAGGCTGGTTTTGGCACACAGATTCAAGTTAGTAGTATTAGTAGTGCAGTGCGCCAGCGGTCATTTGTAATGCAGGAGCAACCTCCCGATGGTAATATGACATGGCTGAAACCGACAGGCATGATTATTACCGTGCCGGTAAGATCAAAAGGAGTGTGGTGATCATGCCAACAAAGTCCATAATCGCATGTTCTCCGATGTCTTCAGACGCTTGGCGTCCTCGATATGACAACGTTTACCTGATTGGTTCAATTGAAGTGCAAGCAATCTTGCCAAGACATGATCAGGCCTGTCTTGTGGCAATCCGACTTTGAGAGAACTGAATTGAGGGCTGTCGGCCTGCTGGTGGGAGATGCACACAGTAGTCCCAATTTGACCGAGGATGATCGAGACTCACTGTGTTCCTGACATGCCAGACAGAAATAATATAGTCATTCGGTGTTAGCGCAGCAGCAGACAACGTCACATATATCATACAACTCATCCAAGCAAGAGAGCAGCAGTCACTGGCTTTGCAGCCTCCCATGCATCTAGGACAATCTCTCCAATGCCCAGTCTCCGCGCGAGGTAGAGCGGTGTCACTCCGTCTTGATCTGGCCTAGTCGTCTTGAAACGATTTCCGGAGGATATAAGCCGCTTGCACTCAGCACATACATCGTTTCCGGTCGGTTCCTTGTTGCTTTGTTCAATTCCTAGAACCTCTTTCCTGAATGATAAGACTTCTTTGAGTGCTGCGCTTGCTCCTTGCTCAACTGACTTTCGAACTGAGACTTCATCTGTCTGACAGCGCCGCAGGAAGTCTGGATGGATTCCCTCTCTTTCTATGTCATACAAATCTTGCTTTGTGTTGTAGTGCTGGGTATCCGGGTTGTCGGCGAAGCTAGCCCAATTACAACCATCGAGGAAGACGTGATCGAAGGATGTCCTACCCAGCCTCGTTCTCAGTGTGCTCTTGCCCTGTTCCTTGAGTGCAACCAGCATGACATGGCATGTAAGTCGATGGGAAAGGCGTTTTGAGGTACAGAATTGTATGAAGTGTAACTCTGGTGGGAGGTTCGTCAGTGATTCATCAAGGCTGCACCATCCAAAGGTCTTGCCATGCAGTGAATCCTGATGTGTTTTGCTCCGTCCAGGTTGCGGGTAGCCTTTTATCAAAACGACATCCTCCCTAGGTAACTTCGACAGTCTTGCAACGCAGGGTAAGAGATGCTGCACTTCCGTTACTGGGATCCCCTGTGGCGTGGCCACAGAAGCCCAACTAAAGTCCTCACTAGGTCCTTCAACTTGGACGGAGACGGGAAACCGATCAGCCAAAACACCAAGTTCAGAACCGGGGATGATTGCGTCTCTCCAAGTCCAATAGTTAGCCATGGCAGGAAAAGTGATAGCCGAAGAAAATGCAGCCCAGCACCATGAAGGAAACAGTGAACTTGACCAGGAGGGGGAGGAATTGAAGCCTTTGGATATACGCTGCCGTCGACGCAGGGAAGAACCGTTGCCTCGACCTTCTATCGTCCACATCAAGCCATGCAAAAGGAGCTTTGTTGGTAGTCCACAAATTATACCTGTATCATAATGCGAGGAAATCTGATCCAGTATGCCGCAAAACCCAACAGAGCGTCGCTCTCGCGCGAAAGCTGCCGGCTCGAATATTCCTCTACGCAGGTGTGATAGACCTCAGCTAAATTTCCTTTACCACCATTGAACAAGGTGGCCAAATTTTGCAGACTGCCAGAATCGGACAATAAGTCCTCCACACGTTGATAAAAGCTGTCGTGTCTTGCTTCACGGTACGTCAACCGGCCACATAGAAAGATGACTTCATCAGTTGTAAAGAGCAGACACCTCGGCGAGAGCATAAATTCTTGATAAGTCCAAGCTCGATATTTCCACTTACTACTCTGCAGAACATCGGACAAATTTTTGTTGGCTCGACCAAGAAACAGCCTTTCACCTATACGACAAGCTCGTAGGACGTGATTCGTTCGTTTTGAGGAGACGCCAGGTAGTCCTGCTCGAACATCATCGCCTGCAGCACTGATGATGCATACTCGTGCTTGAGCGTATATGCTTGCCATGTTGCCAATCTGAGCAGAGGTATCTGCCATGTCATCCTGAATAATGCAAAGAGCATCAATCCACAAAAAAGGTATTCCTAGCTCATGAGCAAGTGTAATAGCATCCACAAAAGTCCTGGGTAAATCAGGTGGTAGAGCAATGCAAGGGGGACCCTCAGCGCTCCTCCGATTTTCCCTCACCCAGTCTCGTGTCAACAGGAAAGATCTTGACATCTGCGAACCCCAAACATAACTTAAAGTCGCGTATGAGAATGATTGTGATGATTCAAACTCTATGATAACGCGACGGGAAGTATGGATGAGCCTGAGATGGCGATTCCATGGTGGAATAGCACTCTGTTTGGGACCTAGATCTCTTAGCTGACAGGTATCGTGCTCTGATTCACATTCGCGAAGCCATCTTTGGAACGTGCTGGGTTGGACGAAGGCCGGTACTGGTCTATGATCACATGTAGGAATACATGTTCGACGTATCCAAGATTCATCAAAGTATGCATAGCGCATGATCTCAAGGGGCATCGGAAGTGGCTCCGGAACAACCACGATGACCACCCACCAGCCTTGCCGTCTTAGCATCTGAGGGTCAGTACGCGTATGTGGAGCAAGATAGACGTTACAATGCTCAAGCAGGTATATATAATTGTCGGACTGCTCACTCAAAACTGCGCTATCGCTTTCGATGCAGACGATGTCCTCGGCCTTTCCTTGCCCATCCTTACGTGATCGTGTCAACGACCGTTGAAATTTAGCAGAACCATGGAACATGAAGGTACAGAAGCGACATCCAGAATCGCTGCCAGCTTTAAGTCTGCTGATGCAACCCAGCTGAATGACTGCCTCAATTGGGCATTCAGCCTGAACATTCAGTGAGTCGTTTGGTTTCGTCAAATGTGTAGTTAGCCTTCCCACAAGAGACTCGTCGCCGAGAATTCTGCAACAAGGCTGGCAGAACTCGCCATATCCTTGGATGCTGTCCGGCCTGTTCGTTAAGGTGGGGAGCATCAAGCTGTGGAGTTCTCGAGACGCCAGGTCCATAGGAGGGTGATCAAAGGGTACTACCTGTCTACTGGCAGCTTGCACGGCCGCAAAAAGCTTGGAATGGTCTTCAAGCAAGTTTCACATTCATGAAACCCAACGGATCACGAAAACGTGTCTTCTGGTCGGTCCTGACCGAAAAGGTCAGGCTATGTCAGATCTGAGGTCTGATCTTGGTAGTTAGTTTTTCGGAAATGAAGACCCAAGGCGAGCTGTTGGGTAGAGCTCAGGCTGACCGGTAAGACTCACCTCCATCGGAGCAGAATAGCAGGTCAGCTGCGTTGATACAAGAAGGAGATCTTGAACATCTTACGTTGTTCACGGTTGCACTGAGAAATCTCAAGCGATGAGAGGATTGTTTCTGGTATTGTCCACATCTCATACAGCCTCGCCTCCAGGAAATGGGGGAACATGTCGGCCTTCTGACACAAGGCTTAACTTATTGTGCGTCCCAAAAGTGTTGCAATTCCTTTTTGGGTCGCGCCAAGGAATTGCAACACTTTTGGGACGCACAATACTTACTGTATCGCCAGATTCCGTGGCTGTTGCTGGGAAGATTTTTAGGAACTGGCTCTGCCACGAAATCTGTCACTGATTAGGCCTTCGGCATACCGTTTCCCCGTCCCTTCTCACTTCTCACTTCTCAGCCCTATCATATCCCACTACACAAACATCCTCACATCAACACTTGCATGCGCCCATACTCCATCCACCCCTACATCCGCATCTTCATCATCGTACACATCAGCACATACCTGGTCGTCATGGCGGGCAAGAAAGGCGGAGAGAACACCAAGAAGGCTGCAGGAAATGCAAAGGCAAGTACATTCTCTGCTGCATGGACACCGCGCAGATCAAAGGCCTGACAGTCTACCTCTCCACAGAAAGCCGAAGTAACAGCCCAGAAGCAAGCAGCAGAAGATGCCCGAGCCGCCGCCGCCGAAGCCCAAGAATGGTCTAAAGGCGCAAAAGGCAACGCAAAGAAGTCAGTTACCCCCACTATCATCACCACCGCCAACCACCAATCCACAAAGGCCACACCACTAACACCGCTCCCCCTCTCCACCAGAGAAGCCGAAGCCGAGAAGAAAGCCGTGGCGGCCCAAAAGAAGGCCGAACGCGACGCCCTCCTCGCGGCCGAGGAAAAATCCCAACGCTCCACCCCCAAAGGCGCCAACGCCAAAACCGCCCCCAAGAAATCCAGGGGAACCCTCGACCTCTCCCAACTCGACGCCACCCCCTTCGCCGACTCGACCAACAAACCCGCCACGCTCAACGCCACCGGCATCGACAACGCCCTCGACGCCCTCTCCCTCACCAGCACCGACCCTTCCTCCCAGAAAATGGACCGCCACCCCGAACGCCGCTTCAAGGCCGCCTATGCCGCTTTCGAGGCGAGGAGGCTGGATGAGATTGCCAAGGAGCATCCCGGGCTGAGGAAGCAGCAGAGGGTGGAGATCTGTCGGAAGGAGTTTGAGAAGAGCGAGGAGAATCCGTTTAATCAGGCCGGGGTGGTGGGGTGGGATGCGAGTAAGGAGGAGGTCAGGGAGAAGAGGGAGGAGGTGAGGAGGGCGGTGGAGGGGAGGTTGGGTGAGAAGTCTTCGTGAAGCGTGTGTTTGGGGGTTGTTTCGGGGGTGGCGTGATAATGTGCTCGTTGAGCAAGCAGATTGGGTTTGATTGAACCCGGACTAGGTGAAGGCTTATGACTCATGAAGGGATGAGGGGCATAGAATAAGGGTGTAGTTTAAGCCATAACGGCTTACTGCAGATACATAAAAAGGCGTCAAGGCGCGAAGCCGAGCTCTTTTGCAATCCGCCCGTTGCTATCCAAGACCCGCGCTTACGCTGTGGGAGTGTGTTGCCCCTGATGCGCCAAGCTATGCTCCAACCCGATGAGTCTGTTCATTCGTATCCCAAACAATTGCGGCCAAAGTAGCTGTTCCACCTCGTCTCGAACGCCAGCCACCGTTCAGCCCATAAGCATTCTAGCATCGAACACGCAAACCCTCTCATCCCAGCCACAACTCGCAGCCCAACCTTCCGCCCCGAATAGGCACCAATCCACCCCGGTCGCAAACTCTGTGTGTCGACCCATCCTCCCCATTTCTCCCGGCATCATAGCACCAGGCCCGCCCTTCCCATCTCCTCCACCGTCACTCCACACCCTACACGTCATGTCATAGCTAGCGCTGAGCAGCAGGTCGGCAACGTGAGGCGACCACGCTACCTTTCTGACGGCGTATTCATGACCTTGGAGAAGCTGCATTGGACCAGCAGGTTGACGAATATCGAAGGTGCGGATGATGCGGTCTACACCTGCCACGGCGATGACGGTGCTGCGGTATTTGTTCCAGTCATGAGTCAGAGCTTCGTTGGGTGGGAAGGTGGGTTGCGGTCTCGCTGAGTTCGCCCTTGCACTCAGCGGCGCCGCATGAAGCGGGATCTGGAGCTGAAGATGGTTGCTTGCGCTGGCTGGTGTACGTAGATCCCAGAGGCGGAGGTGAGAGTCACTCGAGACTGCGGTGATGATCCCCTCGTCACGCGGGCTCCATTGTGCGGAATAGGTGCAGCTGTGGGTTGGGAGGGTGAGCATGCTGCGTTCACGTTCTGGATTCCAGATCTTGACTGTGCCATCCCAAGAGGAGGAGGCGAAGGTAGACTTGGCAGTAAGGTTCCAGGCGCAGGAGAAGGCTTCACGGGAGTGTTCGGAGAATGTTGCGATAGGAAAAGTGGGTTCGAGGTTGGTGTCGAAGAGGCGGAGGGAGCCATCACCACTGGATGTGAGGAGATGGGCCGAGTGGGATTCGGAGTGGCTGACATCGTAGAGTGCGTCTTGAGTTGGGTACCTGAACGCGTGAAACTGTTATCGAGTTGCAATCACGACTGCAGCATGCCATGCTTACCATTTCACCGGTCGGATGCCTTGCGTGGTCAGCTCTAGAACATAGAGTCTGCCATTTCCAACCAGTCCGAAATTGGCAGCCGCTACTACCGCGATACGGTTGTCGAAGAAGGGTGAGTACTTGACAGCGTAGCCTTGAAAGCCTTCCGTTCGATATTCGAGCATTGTCGCAGTCGAGACGCTGTGCTCGTTATTTTGAAGCGTTCGGTTGTTAGGGATTCTTGATAAAGCATGATCACTTTGGCGAGATTGTGATTGGGTAAGAAAAATGAGAGACTGGTCAGTGTTGTTCACATTTCCGGTGTTTACATGCAGTCTTGAGAGTGCGGTGTTTGGTGCTTGGTGTTTGGTGTTTGGAAGCCGAGGTCGAAGATATCGTGACAGGTGAGCTTAGTTGGATGATGTCACCCCCAACGCACCATCAATGAAAGCCATTTCCAGTATCAGTATTAGTATTTCCCACAGGACCCGTTGCACGAGAAAGAAGGCCTATACAGATCTTGGAGCAGCATGGATGGTTCTTCTTCGAAGCGTGGAAGGGGAGTCATCGTAGAAATGTATCGAAGACGCGCGGACATGTCACTGAGCACACTGTACTATGTAACTCAATCGTGCTATGAAGCTGAGTTAGGTAAAGCTTGACAACGGGGATATCAGGATTTGTGCTATTGTCAATTAACCGCCGTCCGCATCAGAATACCGCCAGCCAGAGTACAGTAAGTAGCACTCTAGTCAAAGACCCTACTCTCTACAGCCTGCTAAGGCAGCACCGGCCCCGGTATTCCCCTTGCAGGTTCATAGCTTCTTCCCGCCATGCTGGTGCCTTGTGGCCTTCATGTTGCTACCGAGGCCATTGAGCGAGGAGTCACCGTTCCATTCGCAGCCTTGATCGCAAGCCCGGACTTGTTTGCGATGGCTGCGATCTCTGAGAGAAGATAAGCACGTACGGATATCGTCGTATTATGGGTGCGGCCGCCACAGCCGGGGTCGCTTATTCCAAGGGCTTCTGGTGCTTTGTATCCCAGGGGGAGGCCAAAGGTAGATTCGCAACAGAAGCCGTCTAAGCTGGTGCAGGTTCTCCTTGGGAGGCGAGAAAAATATCTGGGACAAGAAACAGAATGGAGAGGGAAGAGCCATGGCTCCCTCAGATGACAGGACAACAAGGCGGAGACCTGAATGTTAACGATCATGGTCTTGCGCAACACCCTCCGCTACCTCGTGATTGGCCGCTCATGCCAGCCCATCGTTCCGTTGACCATCGTGGGATACGTACCCAGTGCGCAACATCTTGACGTGAGCATTCGATAGATGGAAGGTATAGGAGGAACATTTCTTTCTGGGGGTAGGTATCTTCGTCCTTTAAAGCGTATGGCGGGCTGATATGGTAACCTCATCTACTTTCCATGACCCCTCCTCCTTTCAAACGCTAACACAGAATGATACTGGAGGGGTTGCTAGGGCCTGATTTTGACAAAACCCGGTGGTGAATCCTAATAGTAAGGGCTGTATCCGTCTTGCCCAGTTCTCGAGTACATTCTTGTCCCAAGACCCCTTGCTTTATCCATAGACCTTCTCTAGTAAGTCCCAAACTTATTTATAATTGCAGCACTTCGTAGAATTGGAGCCTGCGTCTGCAAACATTTCTTCATCCCACTAACTTGAAAGCTTCAAAGTCGACTATGAGCACAAAGACTCACAGGCAAAACAGCTATCATGAAATGATGATTGAATGTGTGATACAAGCCGCTCTCATGAACGCCGCTGTGGGCCAGGTTGACATTGGCAAAGACCGGAGGAAGTTCAGCTCCTGCATTGCCCTAAAGATGTTCGCTTGTCCTGATGTTACTTGATGCCATCCGAAGAGCTTCCTCGTTGTGACGTAGAGCTGTTGCTTGCGCCCTCTGGCCCTAGGCTCTAACTTGAAAGACTAAGTTTGGCGCCAGAACAACTACTGACCCAGCCTCGTCCAAGAAGCCTAACTTAGGGATAACTTGAACTCATGCTAATCACTTCATTATATGTGAAATATTGGGTACTAGACAGTACCTTCGTCCGAAAGGCCTTCTTGTCGCGTTGCGAGAAACTCGTCTCATTTACTTTGAGGATCTTTTCGTTTAACAGCAGAAGGAGTAACCTGCTCCGGCAGGCTCGGAGACTACACCATGAAGAGAATCGCATACAATGAACTTCCTCGAGAACAGGGTTGTTTGCGACTTGAGATAACCCACAGAATCATAGTGATATAGGCAATGAGCATACGTTCCTAAACATCAAAAGTGTTTACGAGTCCTGAACATGGATGAATTTGTTTCAAGAAAGCGCAAGCGGCCCACTTCACCAATACAAGACCATTCGACCCGACTGCAGATGAGCGGTCCAGCAATCACTCAGGATCAAGAGGAGTCTACAGACGTTAAGCTCACGATTCTAGCATCATTAGCTCCTACGATCTCACAGGAGGATCTGCTAGAACTGCTCATCAGTTGTGACGGCTACCTCGACAATGCTAGAGCTGTCTTGCTGTATAGAAACAAAGCGCCCACATCACCACGCAAAAAGTTGACCTCGATTGGCCTTCAGAGCTCGCTGGGGTTCCCAACCACCAATGATCCTTCGAAAGCTCAGAAACCACTGACAAGGAAGGGTAAGACCGTCCATCTTTTTTCGTCAGCAGATATTGCCGCTCATACTCCATGTTCAATCATTCACAATTTTTTGCCGGCCGAAGACGCCACCAAGCTCCTCAAAGAGCTGCTTGCTGAAGCACCCACATTTCCTCGCGCCACTTTCAAGCTCTTCGACAATGTTGTGCAGTCGCCACATTCAGCCGGTTTCTATGTCAGTAGCTTACAAGAGCGCGAAAGACAGAAGAGCGAGTATCTGTACAACGGTAGCTACCTTTCGGATGTACGGGAGCTATTGCCAGAAATGAGAAAGGTATCGTCTAAAGTAAAGGACGCTGTCAACAAGGAGATTGCCATCAGAATTGCCAAACACTATCCTGATGGCAAAAAACTTAAATACCAGTGTCCCCATGAATGGGTTCCTAACGCTGCTTTTGTCAATTGTTATGACGGTGGAGCAGAGTCGGTGGGATATCATTCTGATCAACTGAGTTATATAGGCCCACGAGCCGTCATTGGGAGTCTCAGTCTCGGTGTTGCGCGTGAATTTCGAGTTCGTAAAATTGTCGGGCGCGAAGAAAAAGAAACAGATGCAAAGCACAAGGAAGAGACTGACAGATCAAGAGCCGATGAGGAAGGCCAAATCGCAATCCATCTGCCTCACAATTCACTTCTTGTTATGCATGCAGAAATGCAAGAGGAATGGAAGCATTCAATCCATCCCTCTTCCACAGTTGACCTACATCCAGTCTCTGGCAATAAGAGAATCAACATCACCTATCGATGGTATCGTGAGAGCTTTAATCCTCGCTATACACCCAGATGCAAGTGTGGTATTGCAACCGTTCTCAAATGTGTCCAGAAGAAGAAAGAAAACCGGGGTCGTTATATGTGGATGTGTCAAGCCGGCGGCATCCCGGGGAAGCAGGGCTGCGGATATTTTGAATGGGCTGAATTCACAAGCGATGGAGAACCACTGTGGAAATCAGCATCTGCACCAAGGATGCAAGAAACTTTGCCGGCCTGAGAGGAGCGACGCTAGTTATTTCATTTTGTGGCTAGACTGTGCACAACAGGAATCCGTCATTAGGGGCTTGGACGAACCACCACCCAACTTGAATGTCCAGAGCACCGAAAGTGGCTCAGCAGTTTCTAATCTGCATGTCTGACTTGCTATGATCCTGTTGAGAATGCTCGAGCTATTGACGCGGTTATGGAAATGCGGATCTTGATACAAATAGGGGAAACAGATCGGCAGCCTGATCAGAAGATCTCATCGACAGATCCGGGAGTTGATCTTCATAGATCTCCACCCAAGAAAGGCAATCGCCTTTAACGCCCCGGAGATGACTCAATCCTGAGGGCTGGCTCATTTCGTCACAAATGTGGTTAGAGTGTTGCGCATGACTTCTGCACGCTAAAGGGTAAACAAGGTGTACCCGTATCAAGCAGCATATTGTACTTTGCGTCGAGGGTGGCTGGAGCGAATGGCAGGGGGCGGCAAAGCACGGCTGGCCAGAGACAATGATCTCAATTCACCAAGGCTTGCATTAGCTCAAGCTCCGGTTGTGTTTCTCGAGTGGCACGACAGAATGAGAAGGAGTTCTACTACATACTAACTAGTTCTCGCTCGGGCGTGCATAGTTAGGAGCTCTCCAACCAAGAAATAGATGGCAGGACAGAGTCTGATTATCTTGAATATTTGTCGTCCCAGACGCAAACTAGAGAGCCAATGGACACGATGCAATAATTGTTCATCAAGGTATTGACTTGTGGTTGGAGACGTTCACCATCATGCAGGTGTTATGCAGAGCTTGACCTCGATGGTGCAACGTTCACCTCTGCCAATGGCTGGTGCAGCCCAATTGCTAATCCCGCGCCGATCACTTATTGGCGATTGAGTATGTAAGTTAAGGGTCTGGTGGATGAGTTTCGTAAGCTGTCAGGCAGCACACGACGAATAGCTTTGGCTGCAGCATGGTACTCCGTATGTGTGGGTGATAGGAAGAAACGTGGATTGCTGTCATACTGAATAAAAGCACAACACGTAAATGCTCGGCTGCTGCTGGTTTTCCCATAGCGGTACAAACTCACTTGTCAGTGCCAGCTGTGACTGCGCTTTTCAGCGGGTCTTTGCTTCCTTGCTCTATTGTCAAACCTCCCCAGCTCCGAGTTTTTGCCCTCTGCGGCCTGCCGCTTTTGTACAACTCTCACCCAACTCACTTTGAAATTCAAACTGGTACGCGGAGGAGATGCCCAAGAATAGAATTCTCTACCAAAGGTTCTAGTCAACTCATACCCATGACCAATCTCTTTTATGCACTGTATCCACCGCCACCGCGGACACCACAGCCTTTCAAACATCGCGTCTCCTCCGAGCCTCTGCTATGCAATTGACCTACGTTTCGTTTCAGCAAGATCCGGCCTGGTGGCGTCTCTGGTGGGCTGCTGATGCGCGCAGGAAGCGTTTACAGGAATTACATCTAGTGCATGTTGTAATTGACGGAACGAACCAAATCTACGAGCAACTTGGTGGCAGCTCCGTGCTTTGAGCATGGGATTACCACCTTCGCCTGACAGCGACACCTCTCTGGTTTCTCTTGACCCCGCCATCGTCCGACAAATCTCTCGCTCGAAATCATCTCATCAGCAGCTGAGCGCAAAAGCGAAACAACCTTTTCCTATCCTAGCAAGCGAACAGCACATGCACGAATCCCATAACACTATTCAATACGAGCCTTTGCATGGAAAACCACCGCGGAAAATTTTTGAGAAGACGAGAAAAAACTCGTTACGACGTGTCAAGGATAGCACCGAGGTTCTGCGGCAAAAGTCGACCAGCGCCCGGCATGTTGCGAACACCTCTGATGGCACCTCGGCTACGGCCAGTAAGGGAGGTCGTCATTTCACTGTAGGCAATGTGGGAACCGGAGGCAAGCTGTATCTTAGGTATGACCTTCCTGGATGGGCTCAGTATTATATGCTAACACATTAATCTACGCGCAGGCCGACAGCAACTCAACCTCAACAAGCAACGCCAAAAGCTTTTGTCTTTCCCTCTCCGACACCTAACAGTACACTACATGGTTCATTACGACAGGAAAACGCCATTTCGGGTTTACGGCAATCTATTTGGTCAGATTCTCAGATTTCGGACAAGGCACCAAACCCCACAGCAGCAAGATCACCCCCATTAAGGAGCAAAATGTCTGACGGGCCACCAAGACCTTCCGCTCACATACGTCCGTTCTCATTCTCAACGGTCGATGTGACCCACCAGCCATCGGCAGAACCAAAAGATGGGGTCTTACGTATCGTAATAGACAGGTCGGCGACAACTCGCCCTAAGACCACTGAGAAATTCGCCCTGCCGACGCTGGAAATTCCTATTCCACATTATCGGTTGGGTAACCCTCATTTTAGTATACAGGGAACGCCTCTCTTGCGCAGCTCTGCTTACACCAAGACGTCGGGAGGCGTATCCGAGAACTTGAAGCCAGCGTCGATATTGAAGACTAATTTCCTCTCACCTGAGCGAAAAGAAGAAGGGCCCAGTGCGCTTTCCAAAAGCCAGACATTTGATACACTTCTCAGCTGTAGTGGCACCACAAGCGATCTCTCCAAAGATCCTGCAGGAGCAGCTGTTTCCTCTACGAGTCACAGCCAGGGGGAGCCAATAGATCCAAAGGTCTATGATAGGCTGACCTCGATCAAAGATGAACCATGCGTAGTTCGTTACTCGCAAAGGACCGGAGCTATCACTGCTGCTACACCTGCTCGAATAGTAGCCCAGATTTCTTCTGAAGCCTTCATGGACTACGACCTCGTTTCGGACTTCTTTTTGACTTTCCGGGCATATCTGTCAACAGAACGTCTCCTCAGCTTGCTCTTGGCACGCTTGCACTGGGCCATCAATCGTCTCGAGGATGACGGCCGAGTGATTCGCATTCGAACCTTTGCAGCTTTAAGGCACTGGATTCTGAACTATTTTGTGGACGATTTTGTAGTCAACAGGAAGCTGCGAGTGCAATTCTGCGACCAGATCAATGAGATGTACCATGAGGTCAGTCGAAGGACCGGTGGAGGCGTCAGTGACATGAAAATCTTGCTAGATCTGAAGAGATGCTGGAATGGCAGATGCTCCCTTTACTGGGACTCTAGGGATTTTGTTGTTACACAGCAAGACGCAGATATAGTACCTGGTGGCATCATGGGAAGTCGTGACGCCAGCCTAACCCAGCTCGATATTGCTCTCGACCAAGAAATCGGCATGACACCAGACAACTATCAAGACAAGGTTAGCGTTACGAAGAGTTGGTATGGGTCACCACCAGTGACCCAAGGATCGAAAACACATGACAAACATCCTTTTACCTTCACAGCCGGATGGCCTACATCTCCCACAAGTGAGCAAAGTTTGCAACCAAAGTCGTGCTCCATTCCTGCCAGAGCGTTCAAAAGAACGCCACCTCCAGAGAGCAGCGCCAGACGACCGTACCCGGTGTCGCTTTACCAGAGAATGCAGAAGTCGCCTTTCAATCTTCCAACTTCTATGGAAGACTCTCAGCGCCGTCTTAGCAATGCTCATAAGCGAAGTTGTAGCACCTCGGACTCGATACGGGATCAGGGATCAGCAAATTTTGTATCGCAGCCTGTATATCTGGCAAGCCCCTATGCCGGCAGTTTGATTAGAGGCAACGTTTATCCCCCAGCTGCTCCGTTTGTGGACGTTATAGTGCCAGAATCTCCTCCCAGTCATAAACCTCGCCTCAATGCCTCTCCGATTGGGATGTCTACCGCGTTTGATAGCAGTGCAAAGTCAGGATCGCCCACTAACCCTGGTATGAAAACCTTGATGGGCTCCATTCGCCGTGCTCTTAGCAGCAAACAGACAGGCAGCAACTCCACCTCTTCAACCGAGGAGATCGGTCCTCTTCCACCTTCGCTTCATGGCAAAACATCGAATCTACCACTTAACTTGGCAAGATCTACTGATACTCTTAGAGAGAAAAAATCAGCGCTTGCTTCTAGACATCATCTTCGAATCGACCTTCTCTGTGCTGCCGTCTCTCAAAGCTATCAGATGGTGCAAGCCAAAGCATCGGAAGAGTCAGTTGTTAATCATGGCTTAGGCGTTTCTATATCTGGTATACATGAAAGTTCAGGGTCTCAACAGACCCTTGGTTCAAGGGACTTTTCGATCGAGGCCGGCGATATACAAGGTATACCGGGTCAAGACGCTGTTCGGTCGGCTTCATCGGTACTAGATAATACTACAGGGAATGATCTACCAAGGACGATCACGGCATTTGGGAGGGACATGCAAGGAGAAGCCCTGGTTACTGATTTAGAATTCGCTGCTGCGGGCATGGCGTCAACGCCAATTCTATCCACAGAGCGTAGCACACACCAGAGGAGATCGAGCTTGGAAGATCGTCGCCGCTCCAGCTCTGTCGATACTGCTCTTGCACGAAGATCGAGAGAGCAAGGAAAAATGCGTGTGGCTAGATCTGCGGGACAGCCGAGTCGCATAGAGGCATATACAAGAAGAACATCGTCTTCGGAGCCAAGCGAGAGGCTTAGAGCAGCCGTCTCGCCCTCAGCTCTCTTGCACACAGACCAAAGGCAGAGCCATGCCTTGCCACATGGTCCGTACCCAAATTTTGACGCCAGCGTAGCCTCGTCAGCAATGAAACAGTCCAAACTCGAGTTTCAATCACAAGGGCACACCTTGCGCAGACGCCCAGGCGGCAATCTACGGAACATCGAAAACGTGCACGACTTGGCGGCAGGTCCTCGACGCCAATCAACAGGCTCTTTGACCACCCAATCAGAATCAGTTGGATCCATGCTTGTCATGGGCGGTCATAAAGTCACGATGTCGAAACAGAAGAAACCTGCTCTTCAAGTTGCTCAGCATCCTATCTCGCTGATTCGCACCCACTCATCCCAGCATCTGAGACCCTCGTTTGAGGCAGCAATTTCGGGATTCTCGGCCATTCCGGACGATGCCGACGGGGGCCTCGAAGCAACCTTACTCAAATTAGAAGGCAGATACAAGCATGCTTCGCCTGAGATCGGCATTGAAATGGGTGCTGAATGTGCTCGAGATCAGACCGCTATGGTGGGCTCCTCAAGTACAGATCCTCGGCAGAACTTTGATGGCAACGCTTCATATCCACAAGGGGTCCAGGCCCCTATCTCTACGCGCGGCAGCAATCCTCGCTTAAGGCAGCCAGCTTCAGCCTCAAGAACCAGAAAACCAGGCATCAAAACCGTTTCTGCAAGGTTTGGCCAACCAAAAAGCTCCGTTGCAGATTCTGAGGAATCGTACAGCTCTATTCCGTTGCTTGAGCGAGGCCTTGTTGGCGATGCCGTGAAGAAGCCAAACGCTCATTCCAAGTCAGCACCAACCGTATCAATCCCCAGTCCACTTCTCGAAGGTCAGGTGATTGTCGAGACCCAGAGAGACGTGGCTTCTCCGCATCCTTCAATCGAGTTAGTTGAGAAGACAGAGAGCATGGGCAGGATTCCGCATGGCTCTACTCTTCCAGATGTTCGCCCGCTTACTGCAAATGGCTCGTTTCTGCTCGATGAGGATGACAACTTGACGGATCTCTCGTCCGAGATGACTGTGGACGTGATTGAGCACTCAGAGGTACAGGCCCCGATTGTTTCTTCTCCGGCTGGCGCTCCAGGTAACGTAACATCGGGGCATCCACTGCCGACCCATCCTTTGGCTCACCCACCGTCGCCAGCATTCTCAATTCATCAAGCTGTCACTCCAGTACCTCCGGTAAACCCGATGATGTATCAGCAAAAACCGCTTACACCGCAGCCCTCACCCACTCAGGGAGTTGTAGCTCACGATAGCCAGCGTTCGCTTTCGCAAATCCTGCCTCCGAGAAAGAGTCCCGCTGTTGCCTCTGCAACTGTGACAACGAGTGCTGGGCATATTCCATTCGTCCTTGCATGTGAGTCCGTAGTTCTTGCACAGCAGCTCACCCTTGTTGAGAAGGCCGCCTTGAGCGAGATCGAATGGAGTGACCTGGTGGACATGAAATGGGACAACAAGTCGCCAAACATCCTGAATTGGGTTGAATATCTAGCGGCTAAGGACAACAGGGGCATTGATATTGTCATCACCCGATTCAATCTCGTTGTGAAATGGGTACTTTCAGAAATCGTAATGACGCAGAACATCTACGAGCGTGCCCAAGCAATCACAAAGTATATACACATTGCTGGCCACGCCAAAAGAATCCATAACTACGCGACTATGCTTCAAATTACGATTGCACTAACATCAATCGATTGCACAAGGCTCAAGGCTACTTGGGAGCTTGTTTCAGAGTCAGACCAAGTACTTCTAAGGGAGATGGAAACGTTAATTCAACCTATCCGAAACTTCCATGACCTGAGAATAGAGATGGAAACGGCCAATTTGCAGGATGGCTGCATTCCTTTCGTCGGTATGTACATGACACTGCCCGTGACTGACTTCGTTGACAAGCTATACCTAGGCCTCTATGTCCACGATCTTACTTACAACGCCCAAAAGCCATCTCAGATAGCAAATAGCCTGGGCGGAGAGCCTCTAGTCAACTTTGAAAAATATCGTACCATCGCAACGATAGTGAAGAGCTTATTACGGTTGATCGACGCAAGCTCGAAGTATAACTTTGCACCCATCCCAGGTATCATCGAACGTTGCCTGTGGATGGCCGCTCTCAGCGATGAGAAGATTACCGCCCTGAGCAAGTCAATCGAGCAGTGATCAATAGTAATCTGTGTTAGGCCGAATCACATTTGAAACATGCGTCTTGTCGCCGAAAATGTCTTGCGCCTTTGTTTTGTACAATGTGGCATGATCCGCAGCTTCGGCGCTTTACAGCTGGAGTCCTTGTCGTTGAGGTATTGCTTTGGGTTGCAGCGAGTGTCTTTGAGAATTTGCGCCTGGGGATTTATGATATCCCAGAAAATCATAATCGCTATTGAAGCGCCTCGAATGCAAGAGCAGCTGATCTGCCTTTAGCACCAACAAACTCACAAAAATAAAGAGATAGCCTATATAGTGCATGAGCCGATATATATAGCTTAAATACGCAAGTGCATTATGGCCGGCTTAGATTTGCACATCACTTGTGAGAGTACGGAGTGACTCCTATTATTAATGTGCAGAACTTGGCAGGAAGAGGCCCTCTTTAAATAATGGTAGTTAGTGGAGCCATCAAAGTGTACTTGAACTAAGCCTAATCATGAGATTGCCTACAATCTACTGGGATACACAGCTTACTACTAACTAGTAGTAGTAGGCAGCCGAGCACTGTCACGTGTAATGCCAAGCTTGAGCCCGAATATCACAAACTTCAAGTCTCACCCTGGTATTACCCTGACAGGGTGAGCAAGAGCGGCATCACCCTAGGCCCCGGCGGGAGGTGGGCTCGGGACAGATTGTTCTCTACTTGGCATACTAGTACTGGATAGACCAGTGCGTCAATGCAAGTACGAGTACAAGGTACGGACGTAGAGTTCACAAGTCATCCACTGGCATTCTCAAGCAGAAGGACAATCGCTCCTTTGACGACACTTCCTCACGAGATATAGTCTTAATGACGCGAAAGGCTCAATGACATCTCCATCAATGCAACATATGCTCATGAGGTATGGATGTCTCGGACCCTCAAGGCGGCGAGGGGGGAGACAGATTCAGCGACGACGAACAACAATCCCCTCAGTCACCGCGCAAGCTGCCCGATGACCTTCCGAAGTCCCTGGACGACCGACGCACCTTTTCCAGCTATGGCGGCGAGACTGAAATGTACGATGCCTGGCAAGGTGTGTCAAGGTCTAACAAGGACTATGCTCTTGTTGGAAAACCATCAAGGGCTCCTACGAGCAACCATTGCTAATTCAATATGTGGAAGTATAGGTTCATCACAATATCTAACCACACCGACACCAGCCAAACCCCTTGCATTTGATCTCCGTCTCGATACACCCTCCTACGATGATGAAGAAACTGCTGCTCAGATGCAAGACAGCGACGCCCGCCTGAGGGAGATGCTAGCAGTGCAGGCACAACATTACCAAGAAGATGGGCCTAATTCAGCAGAAGCGGAGGACGCTGTGACTATTGACGACAAGCTGTCAAGAGAGGAGAAGACGAGCGTGCTGCAAAAAAGCTTGATCATGGCGGCAAGCAACGGTAACGTAAATCGTGTAAACCGGCTCGTCAATGGTGCAGCCAAAGAATTCGTGGACGTCAATGCTTTGGATGACGACGGTACAGGGGCGTTGGTCTATGCAAGCTGTTTTGGGCATCAAGAAGTCGTTTCGGCGCTGCTTGATGCTGGAGCTTTGGTCGATCAGCAAGACAGGAATCAGTGGAGTCCGCTCATGTGGGCGATGACAAACCGGCACAAGACAATCGCAAAGATCCTGCTTGATCATGGGGCCAATCCAGATATCAAGTCTAATTCTGGTGGCACGGCTTATGACTTTGTTCAGCCCGGAAGCGAGCTCTCCGAGTATTTGCATGATAATGGATATCGTCTACGAGAGACTGCGCAGCTTGGTGATGACTTTTACGACAGTGGTGGTTTTGGACAGGACAAATTCGAGGAAGAATTGGCCGAGAACGAACTCAAAAGACGAATGCTCATGAAAGAGAGTGCCGCCAACTTAGAGGTCGACCTGTCAACGCTCGGATTTGATGAATCTCCCGAAGCTCCTTTTGAGCCGGACGAGGAAGAGGAAGAATTTGTCTGGGACAGATGTGTTGGAGATCAAATGTTTGTCTTCCAGAATGGCGATCTACATCGAATTCTTGAGCTGATCATAACTAACATGACGCCCCAACGTTCACCTTCTCAAAAACCGGTTCCGGCAAATCTGCTGTTCTTGATGGCAAGATATGCGCATTACCACATGACAGGATCTTTGCTAGAAGAGCTTCTATCCGCTGCCATGGATAAGATCAATGATGTGGTGGAGCGGCAGCAATGGGACATGACCATGTTGGCTTTCTGGATTTCTAATGCCACACTCTTACTTCACTATCTCAAGAAAGATGCGGGTCTGTTGCAGGCAACGACAAAAATGCAACTCGAGCTCGCTGAGCTAATCAACGAAATCTTTATCCTCATCATCAGAGACGCAGAACGGCGAATGAACAAAGTTCTTGAAACTGCCATGCTAGATCATGAAACTATCCCTGGCTTGACAGACGACATCCACTTCCAAGGCGAATGGAATGTCTTCAAGTCGAAATCAAAAACCAAAGATGTTCCACCAGAAAAACGATTTCGGCCACCGTCACCCAAGCGGAGAGCGCAAACATCACCTCGAAACATCACATCCCTACTCTCATCCACGTTATTCGTTCTTGACTTATACGACGTCCACTCAGTCATCATATCACAGATACTTGCTCAACTTCTCTACTGGCTGGGGGCCGAACTCTTCAATCGCGTCATGACTACCAAACGCTTTCTCTCCCGCACCAAAGCAATGCAGATCCGTATGAATGTGTCCCAGTTGGAAGACTGGGCTCGCTCCAATAACCGTCAACCAGAACATTACGAGAATGGTTCCACGATTTCGACAGGTGAAAACACCGTTGAAGCTGCACGACGCCATCTCAGTCCTGTCATTCAACTGCTCCAATGGTTACAGTGCTTCACCAGCTTAGGCGAAGATCGCGAGAGTCTTGTAGCAACGCTAGAACAATTGGGTAGACTTACCCCAACGCAATTGATTCACGCTGTCAAATCATATCGCTCCGAAGTAGGCGAGAAGAGCCTACCCAAAGCACATATGAAGTTTCTTGTGCAGCTTCAGAAAGGACAGGAAGGTCTAATCAGGAGACCACGTACACCCATCTCTCAAGCGCCACAGATTACCTCTACCCCATCAACACCCGTCAAATCCGAAGCTCATACATTCACATCCACATTCACATCCACATTCACACCAGCATCTACAACCATCACGTCTCAGAACGGTACTCTACCAAACGACCAGCAACATACCCCGCCCCAAATACCCTTTCCTCAATCTCCATCTCCCAGCAGTCAGCAAACCCAGACACCACTCGCCAGTAAATCACCACAACCCGAACCTGTTTCTCAAGCCCTAATTCTAGACCCCTCCCTCATGCTCCCTTTCTCCCTGCCCACAAGCACAGACATGCTCATCACCTACGGCGCGGGGATAGGCGGAACCAACCGCGAGAGAGCCAGGAAATATATCCCGACCGTGCCGACGGAGGTGTTGGGGAGGTTGGGCGTCGATAGTGCGAATCATGAATCATAGCGACAAAAGAGGGAATGAAGGGTTTTTAAATTGACGGGTTATGGCTAATCAAATGGGATTGATGAAATGGATGGAATAGGTTATTGACCGGCTTATTGGCTGGATCTTCCTGGTGGTGGAGGACGGAGGACGGAGGACGGAGGATGGAGGATGAAGGATGCATGCTGGAGATGGAGGTGAGAACAAATCAAGCTTCAAGTTTTCTCCGTCTCCAACGCCAAGCCTCCCGCCGCCCCCAATTACTTGAACTTGAAGCATGAATCTAAACCTCGGAAGAGTTGACTAAAGAACCATCCTACACATCCACTCCTCTCTCGCTACGTGGAAGCCGGTGGCAGCATCTGGCAAAAGAAAGGCTATACAATCCCGTTAGTAGCAAAACCTCTCAGGTAAAGCTAGAAGCTTTAAACGCAAATCCAGGGTGACAAGCAAACAGTGATAAATGGTCAATTCGTGCCCGTGCCTCTGTTCCATTTTGCCGAAGCAGTCATGGAGCCAGCTTTGTTGGCTACGCTACCAGCAGAACTGATATGCGCAATACTATCATCCTTGGCTTCTGCTGATGACCTACTCTCTATGATCCTCGCTTCGAAACAAATTTACGAGTCCTTCAAATCCACAAGGAAGAGCATTCTCTTAGCGGTCGCTCAAAATTCGCTGGGTGCGCATATACTCGCTGATGGACTTATCACTGTCCGCTATCTTAAGAAACGATCCGATGATAGCGTTTTTACTACACGGCGCCATCCTACGCCTCTGGATCAAAATATTCTTAAGGACAGGAATGATACTTCCACATCGCTCCGATTACCGTTGACGGAGTGGATACTCTTCTTCCAGTATCAGCGGGTGGTTGAAGACTTTGTCCATGATTACGCCTCACGTCAGCTGGTGAAGTATGGTGGACCACCTCTGAGCACCACTGAGCTCTACCGGCTTCGGCGGGCTTTCTACAGATATGACACCTTTCAGACTATAAACCTTTTGACAATGGACATGCGCGGATCCGAACGCAACATGGTGGTGTGGCCAGCTCTCCTGACTGAGTATGCAACTTCACCCTGGGAAGTAGAAGAAGTCATGTGCGTGCATCAGTACGTCATTGAGCGACTCGAGGAGGTTCTCGACCAGGTAGAAACTGAATACATTGAATCAGTTGTGGCCTCGACGCAAGCTACCGCAAGCCTCGGTGGTGATCCTGACGAGACAAGATGGCACAGTAAAGGAGTTGCGACATCTTCTAGAGACCACCCATCTCATTTCTATGAAACCGATATCGAACACGACGAGGATGCGCGATCATTCTTCTGGACATCAGAAAAGCGGTATCAAATTCTCAACACAGAGTATTTGTCCACTTTCGGACTACGATTTCTTCGCCGACTTTTCCACTTGACAGACAAGAGAACCAGAAGGGCGATTGTAGCGGAGAACTCTGGCCTACTTGCATGTACTTTAGCCGATGCTCTACTACCCTCCGTCAACCCTTTCAAGCAGGAGAAGCAGGATCTAGAAGAGGGAAAGCCACTTGATTTTGAAGGCGATGCACCGGACAAACGCAACTTGGGCTGGCTATGGGCGAATCAGTACTTACCCACGCCCTACTACGCATCACCGTGTGATTTTGACTTCAGATCATGGGGCTACGTATTCTGGGATCGTCCGCGGTTAGAGTACCTCAACGTCATCAAAGAACCATGCCCCAGAGTGGACCGAAATCGCTCCCCGCAGAAGAGAGATCGTGGCAGGGAGAAGAGTGTGGAAGAGAAGTTGAGAGAAATGAACATCATTGAGGAACGCACTGATTTTCAATTTTACTGAGCCGTCGTTGCTATTTTCATATTCAGCACTGTATCCTTTACTCAAGTGCTCCTACATAAAATAATAAAATGTCTGCAAAATCACTAAGGACCAATACCGCGTCATTTTCAGAGCCCTTCTCCCGGTAAATAAGACACGTGTTGTACGGCGCCTTTCGCCGGAACTGGCACCACGTGGAACCCTTGGAGGGGGTTATTATCCTATTCTCCACAATCTCATGTTCCAACAGTGTTCTCCTTCCAAACCTCTATATGTAACGCGGAACTCGTGACACTTCGCATTATCTCTTGCAGGCTGACCGGTCAAAATCCCCAAAAATTACCGGCCCGTATAGGCCAATAATTTAGTCATATTTCTGCAGTTCTCGGTAGCATCACAGAAACTATGTGGATTGTCAGGAGGTTCAAATGACCATAAATTAGCCATAATTGGACCGTCATTTCCCTAAAATGATGTCCGAAATAACGTAGTTTTGTTAGATTCCAGATGTTTGGCTGTATAATTTTATGTAAATTAGGTTATATCACGGTTAGGCTGAAACTAAGCACACATTGATGGTAATATACTACGTAGGCATGGTTTTCAGAGGGCCTTCTCCTGCTAAGTAGTGCCCTGACCGCTACCGGGGTCCTTAACGTTTATGTAGTAGACACGTGGGAAGTTTCGTCTTTCCTCCTGTGCAGGCTGTCCAACTGCTAGGACTAGTAGTGTCTAATCTCCTATTACCTAGGATTGGATCAACCGGATTCTTTATCCGGAGGTTTGTGAGGCCCTTCCAATGCCGTTTCGAGAATTGGACAACACGTTCAATCGCTTATGGAAGCTGAAACCGGTCATCATCCAGCACTCCGAAATTCAGCCGGAGGCGCATTTCCAATATTTATACTCCGTACACTCTCAAACGACATCCTCATGAGATGATGAGAGTACGCCAGAACCATCTGTAAGTCACAGCCAGCGGACTCTTCTCAGGCAGTAGTGCAGGGCGATCCGGGTCAGTAGATTGCATTCACGATATATAAACATGAATTGTCTTGTGACAAAGCCAAAACTTCTCTAATAAAGCTAGGGGGTTCTTTCTGTTAGCTCAAACATGACATGTTTTCGGAAACGCATTTCAACAACTGAATCCTACCTCAAATTGGGGATTCGACATGCAGACATCAGACAATGGTGAGGCTATGATACATAGTGAGATTTACCCGTTTTTTCTCTTCAAGAGAAAGTGAAAATCTGCTTGCTGTCTTTTCTGATCCTCCTGCCACTCAAATACGAATATGGGGATCACCTACAACATTCTCAACCCACCAAAACCAGAATTTCTCCACTATTATGTCCTCTTCACCTCCACCTCCACCTGGACCTTCTGGTGGGAGGTTTAACAAAGCCAAAGCCAAGTCACCAGTACCAAGAGACTCTAGAGTGCGTGCACTGGCAGCTAGACAAGCTGGAGCAAAGTCTAGCAGCAGCGGTAGCGAGGATGATCAGCAGGCAGCGAGACCACGAACTCCTCTCCCAAGTCCCTCAAAAGAAGGTGCTGGACCTAGTAGAAGTATAGCTAGTCATGCTCACTTGGATACAAATGTCCTTACCCACCCCATTGCCGGTCTAAGGATAGATAGGGGTGGATCTACCATCACTATGGATCAACTACCGCTCTGGGCGAAACCCCTCTCCCGGAAGGATCCAGTGACCGGCCGAGCCATAGCACCACGACCACGACCACTACCACATCCTCCTTCTTCTTCTGCTGATGCCGATCCTGCTATTTCTGATACTATGCAACCAGCTGGAGGTCTCCTACCGGATCAAGAGAAGTACACGATATGGTACATGACGGTTACCCCTAGCGGCAGCAGCCCTGGCCCTCGTCCTCGTCGGACAATATTGCGTAAATGGAACTTGCCTCCACTAGATCCCAACACAACAGAAGAAGAGGACAGGCGGATCGAGACGCTACAGTACATGAGAGTCTTGGTGCGTCATTTTCGTAGCGAAGGTGGACCACCTTATCGGTACAGAGGACCATATCACCCAGATGACAAACGATTCATAGAACACATGTTGGGATGGGTTCTGACGGCGGATGAAGTCAATCGCCTCATACCGGATCTAGCGACGACGACCGTGTGGATAAATCCCTTTCGCCTTGATATGCTTTATATGACTTTGGGGCTATTATTCGCGGACTTATATATTCTGGGTATACCATAATAAGAGTGTGATTATAAATTTCGCTTGGGGATGGGATTTTGCAGTAGGGCTTACTATTATTTAAAGTCGCCGGAAGAGTTGATGTGCACAGGCTTGAGAGTTGCAGGTCTGCTTCTCTCTCAAGAACGCAAGGACACACTCGATATCGCCAATCCTACCTAGTATGGACGTGGCAGACTCAATTTCTCCAGGATTGAACTTCTGAAAACCTACCTCAAGACTGAGACACGTCAAGATACCCTTCAAACTCCTCATTGAGGGTAATTCGCCTCACATGGGGGACAATCATCAACGATTGTTAGAGATCACTCCAAAGGCAGTATATGAGCATAAGTTAACATTCATATGCGACTTCAGGCGCGCATTGCGGGTGAGTCGCGTGTTAGAATTGAAAGAAAAGGAGCAGCAAATTTCTCTGGTCTCCCACCTTGTAGATTCTAGATATTGTCTTTTGTCCATGTGGATATTTTATCGAGCAGGGGATGTTGGAATCTGCAGAATCATTCGCAGAATCATTCTTTTCTTGTTTCTCCCTTTCCACCCGTTTTTGCTCTATTTAGCCACCATTCTGACTATCCTTCCATTCGTCCCTTACATCCTCGAACTCCTCCACTTCTTTCATCACCCTCACTGACTTCGTCACCGTCTGCAGCTTCTGCAGGACTCCATCGATTTCCGCCTGCTCCGTGCTTTGATAGAATAGTCTCCTCGTCTTAGAGTCGCATCTCTCGATCGACCCGTTCATATCTACCAAAAGTTCGACAATTTCGTTCACTTTAGCCTGTTTTTCTCCTTTTGCATCCAGAGGGACGGATATCGGTTCGGCGATCCAGCAGTCGAGAAGGTGTTCCAGTCCGTGAGTCCAGCGAAGGACCTCCTTCTTTCGCTCGTCGCGATCGAGAGTTGCTTGGCGGGCTGTGGTTCCGGGAAGTGGGTGGAAAATATAATTGAGACCATCACGCAGTTGAAGCAGGGTGGGTACTTCAAGAGTGAGGAATTGGGGTTTGCTTGGAGGACTTGGCAGGAGGTGCTTTTGAAGGTATTCATTAAATACCTTCGAGCCGGATGATTGGCGCTTGATATTCAGTTCGGCTATTGCAGCTGGGAGCTCAAGTGGTGGCTTGCGAGTGAGAACGCGATGTGTATCAGCAGCGCGGTCAGTTGTGGAGTCATTCAGTGGTATTGGTAGTGGTCCGAATGATGCCGAGATATCGGGAATGCAGGTGTCTGGAGTTGGGCTTGTTGCCATTAGAGCGAAAGAGTTGTAATGAGGACTTATCGAGTGGGAAAAGCGGTGATGTGGCCTCCGACCGCCGGTCATTGCTAGGGTGAACCGGCGATTATGCATAGTTTCTGGTTGTTGTGTTGAGGGCATTGAAGCAGGTGCCTCAGGCGCTGGCGGTGAAGGGGCATCTCCCCGGGGAAGAAGCAAGGTGCGAATTTCCTGTACTAGCTGTAGAAGAGTTGTGTTGGACTGCAGTGCATGATCTTGGAGCTTGTGCACCTTTTCGGCGTTGACCTTGCCGTCGACTTCAATTCGGTGGGTTGCGGACCTAGAATTTGTCAAATCATAGTGATAATCAAAATGAGTAGTGTACAGCGCACCATAGAAGTGTGTTCAGGATGATGGTGATGGCATCAGTATGTGATTGCAGCTTCGCTCGAAACTCACTAAGGGACTTTCGTTCAACATCCCAGCGGATCTTCATCCAATTCACACGAACATTCTCCTTGAACTGGGCCAGTGAACGCTTTTTGATAGGACGTGTCGACACGGCAACAGCAGATACGCCTTCAGCATCATCACCTAAGACATCATTTTGGGCCGACTCGGCGGCTTCTCTATACTTCTTGGTTACGGAGTCCAATTCTAAGAGGGTAGCACCACAAGAGTTAACCATGGCGTCCAATTTGTGCCGAACCTCGACTGCGTTGGCATCTTGGCTATCCGGGGCCGTCGACAATATGCTTTCTGCGGCTTTGCTGAGGTGGTCCAGCGCGCAGCGAAGACCGAAAAGCACATCTTCGAGCTCTTTGAGATCTTTGGCTGCGGAGCGTCTACCGGTCGTCAAGTTGCAATAGAGCTTGTATGCTAGCTGGCTAACCAGAATAATATCTCCGACGCTAAAGCCGAAAGACATGCTGGAAACTCGGTTCTACTTCATTCATTACTTTTGGTCAGTCTTCGTCGAGGAAGTTTATATCTGATGTGGTCGAAGAAGCCAGCCACGTTGATCCATGCCTCAGCTAATTTGCACCTCAGCCAGGCAAAACGTGGCTTTGCCGCCGGTGATAAATTCAGCCCAAGTTGGAGGCCAATTGGCTGCAAGGAGGGATCAGGCAACTTTCAGGCTCTCAGGGCTGAAATTTAATTTCATCTTCAATAAGTGACGAAAACTCGCTTTGCACATTTCAATTTCTGTTCATATTCTCCCACAATACCAGCTTGAACAAATAATCTATGCTTTGTATTCAGTTCAATGGGTCCCGCAGCTCAGCTTTTGCATCAGGATGGACTACTTTCAAAGACTGAATCTAGTGCTCGGAGTATGATTGCGATCGTAGTCAACGGGCTACGGAAGGCTTCAGACTCTAACGAGCCAAACGACGAGGAAGCGAACACTGAGAGAATTCACGCCGAACGAATTCTTGTGCCACGGAACGACCCTCTATCAGTGCTGTGGGAAAGGATAGAGTGTGAGTACGGTTTGTTTCTTTGTGCTAGCAGTGTCTCTTAGTTTGCTCTGCTTATACCACTCAGCGCTGGGTTATTACCGTCCAGTCTCGCTACAGCAAGGGGAAAGAATATGGAACGACAAAAAGGCTAAAAAACTCTGCGTACACCCATTCGAAGAGCTCGAAATAGTCCAAGGAAGACCATCCGAGAATGGAAAATGCGTCAATATGGACGATCGGCTCATTGCATTCACAAACAGATATTTCCAGAAAGAAATTAATCTCAATATCAGTGAAGGTGGCTTGAGCGACCACCGCACTCGGCTGGAGAGCCTCAAGGATGATTGGGGCCTCGACATCTCGTTCAGCGCACGACCAGAATGCCTGATGATGACAGATTACATCAGCTCCCAGCCTCTCTCGGCGTGTTCCCCCTCTACAATGTTAGTGCATACAGTGATCGACTACCAGACAACATCGTACAGCAGGGGGGGGGGTCTTTCTACCTATGTGGCAGAGAGAAGCATTGTGGATCAGATTTTGGGCTGGGGGTTCCCAACAATATGCGCTGCGTATCTTTGTTGGTCGGATCAATGCAGTCTCTGGACTGAGAATGGATGATAGAACAGACGAAGCTCAGGCGACAGAGGTCCTTCAGGACTATGTTGTCGTTCCTGGTCAGCAATGGTTGGACGGAAATCTGTGTTAGCCCTGGAATCGTTCGACAGTTTGTGGCGATGCCTGGTAAGTGACTTGAGCAGGTGAACCATTCCGCAGAACCTTGAGGGCTGACCAATACACCCTTTCACCCGAAGTGGGCTCAGGTTACACAGTCGAAGGCCAGAAAACTGGGGAAGAGAAATACGGAGGTTGCAGATTGAGATCATTGCGTCATACAAGACGCAATTAAGGACTTTTCTGCCAGGATCCACAGAGCGATCTACTGCGGCTGAGTTATTTGATTCATCAAGGATATTGAATGAGGATAAAACACCATTGGAGCTTGGATTGAGTGCTGGTGACAAAATTAGATCTTATCCACCAAGTCCAACCTATTGGGCGCCCTATGCGATCTCCGATCTTACTGGAGACGCTTCAGAGGAAGATACACATATCAAAGTAGGTAGAAGTGTGATAGGGAGCTATTCATGCTGACTTATGTGATAGGCCCTATATATAAGATGGTTTGAATCGTCGGGAGTATCAAGCGAACGGCTTAGCCGGAATTGCAGCCCGATACGTTTTCGCCCTACTCGGGAGCTTCCATTGGAGAGTGCAATAGTAACGTCGTCCACACATAACGAAGGTCCTGGTGTTGGCATCCCTCCCCATGCTCTCTCAGAGCCTGAAGACGCTCTTAGCATCAAGGTAGTGACAAAAGACCTGAAAGCCATGGGTTTGGCCGCTGGGGGAAAGCTAGGTACTTTTAAATCTTCGCTGTCTTGGACAGACTCTCCAGCATATTTTCTACACGCACATTGTCTGCAAAAAGCAACTGACCGTGCCTTCAGTCCAGGATATATATCGCGATCCGTTTCCCGTTCGCAACTGGAACACAGAGGCCACCCGTCTTGTTAACATACATATTCTTGACCCAGCCAGCTGCGAGAAAGTGACGCACATCGTTCCCCCACCACCACCACCCATCGACGCAGCAGAATATGCTGAGGCGAAATTGCCATTCTATGTGGTCGAAGAACAGGTCGACAACCGTCTTGAAGGTGGCGATTTCGATAACGTTATCTCGGTGAGTGCGATGGATAAGGACCAGGGTGTGACGAGAGAGCCGGAATTTGATCCATCAAAACCAAGGATGTGCGGAGGATGTGAGATGCGGCTGTGTGACTGCATGTAAGTCAAGGAGCAGAAGCAGATATTCTATAAATCATTTGTACTAACCATTGACAGTATTCGACCATGCGACCACCAATTCTGCAACGTCTGCATCAGGAGACTGGACACCAATAGCAACAACGGGCCACAAGAGCGAATCAGCAGCAGCAGCAGCAGCGAGCAGCAGATCAGGCGCTGGAGATGTCCCACTTGCGGGAGCGATGTTTCACATGTCGCAGGCTTCTCCGCCCCGATGAATCTTCCCGGAGAAGAGGCGTTGAGGGTCAAAGTCCCTGTTCATGTGTTGAAGGTTGAAGACGGGAGGGTCAAATTTAAGTCTATCCAGACCACGAGGATCTAGGTTGCTAGGATTGGGGCACATCGTTCTCAGATCAGACAGCTGAAATCAAGGGTGCAGACATTTCTGTTGTGAACTGTTCCGGCTCAAAGGACTCTATAGATGTACGATTCTGTCAGACCGTATAAGCGCTGATCGGCCACTTTGTCTACGCGTAATCCCTGCGTTCTGCCTGCTTTTCATTGGTCAATTTCTACTACAATTTCACCAGCCAATTTCCCTGTATCGTACAGCCAATCTGTACGTATTTAAATTATAGCCAAGAATCCATGACAGACCACAACCGTTGAGCTGCGCTGGCCCTGGTCAGAGCAAGTACTACCTAGCAGCAGAAGTTGGTATGAAAACGCTCTGTTCTCTACTGGTATGTTACTGTCAAGCTCCGAAATTGTGCATCTATTCGATATAGCATACTGGGTTCCATAGAACTCGGTGCGCCATAAGATGGACTTCTCATCAAATGTGACCTCCTACGTCTCGACCGTAGTCGTGATTGGGTCTACCTACCTGCTGGGGCTGGCTGTATATAGACTCTTTTTCCACCCATTAGCGAAATTCCCTGGTCCGAAATATGCTGCGCTCAGTAGATGGCATGAGTTCTATTATGAGGTAGTGAAAAAAGGACAGTTCATGTTCATCATCGACGAGTATCATAAGAAATACGGTAAGCGAGCTCTGTACCCGCATCGATGAGTGTGTGCACATGCGCAAGGATTCTGTTCTGACGTTGATGTGACAGGACCCATCGTTCGCATAGTCCCCGATGAACTCCATATCAAGGACTCTCAGTTCTACGACACTCTCTACACAAAGGCTGGCCGCGTCGACAAATATGAATGGATGGCCAACCGTTTCAGCAACGACCAGTCGGTCCTCGCTACACCGACAGCTGATCTCCACCTCAAGCGCCGTGGAGCTCTTAACCCGCTCTTCTCTAGAGCACGCATCATCTCCTTTGAAAGCGTCGTTCGCGAAAAGACCAATCTCCTCATACAACGGATTCGTGGCTATAAGGACAGCGGCAAGCCGTTCTCATTAAGTGCAGGTTTCATGGCCCTCGCAGGCGACGTGATTATGCAATACTGCTTCTCGCTGAATTATGACCACCTGAACTCTGAGGACTTCAAAACCACTTTCCATGAGCCCTTCATGGCCATGAGCATCACCAGTCATCTCTCACTCCAGTTTCCCATCGTTCCAAAGATCCTGTTCGCCATGCCAGAATCGTGGTTGGCGAAGACTGAGCCGCTGTTCTCCCTCATGTTCCGGCTTCAAAAAGATTTGCGCAAACAAATTGTCGCATTGAAGGAAGGCGAGAACGAAGAAGTCGCCAAGTCTCCCCTGCCCACTGTCTTCCACGAGCTTCTCAACAACCCGAACCTGCCTCCAGATCAGAAAGAGACAGCACGTCTTCAAGACGAGGCCCAGCTCGTCGTCGGCGCTGGGATCACCACAGTCGGGTGGGCCTTGTCCGTCGGGGCCTTTCACATAATCAATCAACCTCTCGTCTTCACCCGCCTACGCCAGGAACTGGAGGAAGCGATCCCCGATCCGAGTAATCCACCCACCTGGGTCGAGCTCGAAAAGCTGCCATACCTTACCGGCTGTATACGAGAAGGCATCCGGCTCTCTTACCCCGTAACATCCAGGAACCCGCGACTGCTATCCAAGCCCCTAGTTTATAAGGACTGGGTAATCCCACCCCGCACGCCCGTGTCGATGACAATCGTCGACGTCAACAACGACGAGGACATCTTCCCCGAACATGACAAGTTCAAGCCGGAGCGGTGGATCAACCCACCCCCGACCAAGGACGGCTCCGATCTAGAGCGCTATTTCATTTGCTTCCAGAAAGGTTCACGATCGTGCGTCGGCATCAAGTAAGTACGCTCTACATATATCTCTTCTTTGCTATCTTGTGATTTGGATCATGTTTTAGCTGACCAGGAAAACCCAAACCAGCCTTGGCTATGCAGAGCTCTACCTCGCCCTCGCCGGGGTGTTCCGAAACTTCCACTTCAAGCTGCATGAGACAGACGAGTCCGATGTGACGCTCGCCCACGATTTTTTCTTGCCCTCACCCAAGCTCGATTCCAAGGGTGTGAGGGTGAGATGCGTGGCAGACCCGTGAGCTGGCTTGGAGTCGTGGGTCAAACCATGCTAGAGGCGGCATCGACACCTTGATCGGGTTGGAATCGTTCAGGGGCCAGGATTCTCTGACGTGGAGAGCTGAGGCAGGGAAATGAAACTTATGAAGCAGGATCTGATAAAATTATTACAGTCATGCGAAAAAAGAACGAAGCTACATGACGTCACTTTCCAAAATGCTTCGAGCCGCGGCGTCCATGTGCTAAAATCAATTAGAATAACGCACCCCCACAAAACCCAATAGAGCTATCCCACTTCTAACTTTGCCAGCGTTGGAAGCTCGTAGTAGGGGTCAAGCGTGGATTCTCCTTTAGGCTGGTTTCCGTCCGCAAACAAAGTGCCACTTCAAATATAGATGCAGGCGTGGCAGATGGGGACCGTGCGGACGTCCTCCCTCACGTCGACGAAGCCGGCATCGACCAATTACTGGCGGTGCAGGTGGGCGAGGTTCAGCGTCTTGCCGACCAAGGTGCTGCTGGCGCGGTCGACGTCGCGGATCCACTCCTGGCACCAGGTGGCGCGGTCGATGATGTCGTCGTCGCTGTTGAGCCAGCACTCGTGCTCCTGCATCCCCATCCAGCCAGGTTTAAAGTGAAACTTGCCAAAAAGTATAGAGATTTCTGGATCTTCTTTATGTTAAGATTTTCGCAATTGATAGCGCTGAGTTGGTAGGTGTTCAAGATCGATATCAACACACCGCGGGCACAGACCCCTCTCGCTGGTGAGCAACTGAGAAGCTTGCGACTTTAAGGCTGAGAGAGCGTCTGGACGCCCTTCGAAGTCCACGAATTCTCGCTTCTGCACCACGGCCATTGCCCTGTATCCTGAACGATAGGTGATCGATGGAGACGCAGAAAAAAAGAAAGTACGCTAATAGAGCAAAGAGGGAGGTGAGAAGATTGCGAGAGCGATTGTTCACACATACCTGGAGTCCAATTGGTCGAGACCGGAATGCGCAGCACAGCTCCGAGCAAGGCTGACCGATCACCAGCCTTGCGACAAGCAGCAGACGCGAACTACATTCAGACCAATGGTTGGCTGTACGCCTCGTGGGTTTGGGGGCACCACGTTGTTCAACCGTCATAGGCAACTCTTAGGGCCTAAAATTCATTGCAGTTCTCAGATCCCCTTCCTCCCCCCCCTTCTTCATTCCTCTATTTCTCTACTAATACTCACTCAAATTTAGTGAACAATGAATTCTGAACAGGGAAATAGACGCCGCGTCTGCAGAAAGTCTTATTCGATTGATCCTCCTTCTCCTGCAGCCTCACGAAGGCCAAAAACGATGCTTGACACACCGCGCCGAGCGCGCCTTCTTGCTGATGTACGCCACACAGCTGGTAAATTACCTCGTATAGAGCTATTTAAGATACGTAATATAGCTAATCGAACTGGCTATTAAATCCTTAAAGAAGGATCTGCGCGCCGTAGCGAGAAAGTCCACAATCGAGGCCGAAAACGAGTACTTACTTCATACGAATGTGAAGTAATTGAGGTAGTAGAAGATGCTAATTTTGGCTTTGCTTCTTCTAGTCATTTCAAGGTGGCAAAGACTATTGGTATAGCTAATGGCTCTGAACGTGCTATTCAAAGAAATATGAAGGATTTTGGTGTAGGGACTTATATGGCTGCACAGAAAAAAATGCTCTCACAAACGCATATTGATGCTCGAATTATATCGGGGCATTTGAGCGTCGCTATTGGTAATTAGAACAATTTTAAGAAGTATAGATGGTGTGATGAGTCTTATTTTGCTACTTGCTTGCAGCGACAAGCTCGTATGCATCGTCGACCAGGATATGAAGCACGAAATGCCCTCTCAAAGACTCAATTCAAACTCAAGCGCCAGAATCAATCAATACACGTGTACGGCGTTATTGGATGGAATTTCAAGGGTCAGCTCCACTTCTATACTGGCTCTGGTATAGGGGGACGGCTTGTTCAAGCTGACTATATGGCTATTCTTGAGCAAATTGTTGCTCCTGAACGGGATAAGGATTGCGTTTTGGTCGAAGATAATGATGGGCCTCATGGTACCAAGGGCAAGGGTCCTAACAAGATTAAAGCACTTAAGGACCTTCTAGGGATCAGATGGAAGATGAACCCTGCTAATTCGCCAGATCTCAACCCTATTGAGACCATCTGGAGGATAATAAAGCAGCGCTTGAAGTCCAGGGGGGTCATCTTCGAAGAAGCTGTGCTGCGTCAAGCTATCCAAGAGGAGTGGGATAAAATAACCATTGAGGAGATTAATAGGGCTATCTCAACAATGCCAGATAGAGTAGCTGCCCTAAACGAGCGAAATGGGCGCCCTATCCCCTATTAAATAGCCATGTAGCATAGCAGGAATCTGAGAACTGCAATGAATTTTGGCGCCAAGCTTCGGGCCCACCAGGCCGCCATACTCGAGTACAAATTAGTGTGTGTATTACACCGTCAGAGGGGTCCAAACCAATCTAGGTTCAGTTCCTATTAGCGCTCTGGTGGCCCAGTTCTTTTTACTCCTGCTCTTTTATCATTCACAGCGTTTGGAACGCCATGTTTGGATGTGCGATTCATCGCGGCTGGTCAAGAAGCAGACTTGGAAATCCAGATTAGTTTAGGGACGTGCGGCGACTCGCCTACACCTGCTCAGGTTGCCATAACCGCTGAATCTTGAAAGTATCATGAAGAAAAGCTAAATGGTCTGCTACGTCCACCACACTGCAAGGCCGAAAGTTTACCACAAGGACACCATACTAGTAGCTACTTACTATACATTAGATATTGAGAGGTGGTTTAATAAGAAAATGCAAGCAATTTCACATCATCACCGCTTCTTGGCGGACGGGGAAATGGGATCATATTCGACCCCATCTCGGCCGACTATTTACGCTGAAAGAACAAATTCCGGGACTCAGACGTGACAATTAAATGACAGTTGCTTGCTTGCTTTGAGGAGTGCTGCACTAACTATCCTATCAACAGACGAAAAACGCAGCACAGAAAGTAAGCAAGATACGGCCGTGCAATTGGTGTTATCTTTAAGCTGAAGAGGCCATCGATCTCCTGACCTCAACTGAATGCCTCCCCATAGGTACAAATTCCCGATGGCGGTGAGGTCGACGGGTGGCCTAATTCGCTTTCTCCTAGGACCAGGAGACATGATGACAGCTCCACTGTACACACATCAATATGCGCGTATGTACCTCACCATAGCATCTTCACGGGACTTCCCGGGTGTGCTTTTTCATAGTCTGCCTGCCCAAATCTCCTTATCCCACATCCTGACACCCTGAACCTCACTGATATTCAGATCGTTTTCGGCCCAGAACGCGATAGGCAGATCTGCCTCCGTCTTCACTTCACCCTCTGCCGTTCCATCATGCTTCTTCGCCTGAGCTCCTCCATCTTCATCTTCATCCTCACTATCCACTTCCACTTCCCTGGTGACCTTGCTCAAAAACACATACGGGTTCCCCTCGCCATCTAAATGGTTCTGGTGTCTACCTCCGGTCAGCCAGCTAAACCCAATCCATTCCAGCTGTGTCGTATCTTTGCAATGACTCATGCTGTCGATGACACACTGACGCAGTTCATGTAACATGGTGGCGGAGGCCGAAGTATGCGGTTCAATGACAGTGCCACCGTAATGGTGCTGAGATGCAATGGCGATGCCGGTCATAGAGATAGGAGGTGTGCCAGCGTCAAGGATGAAATTAATTTGAAGCGCATAAAGCTCGGTGAGGTTAGGAAGGGAGCGGACGATTGTATGCTGTTTGATGCAGTTAGCACAGGGCCTAGTGAAGGGTGGGAACGGGAGAAGTACTCACAAAAGAAATGGTATCACACTGAACGGCGAGTTCTCGCAGCTTCACGCCTTCGCGGGCTATCAGTCGCATGGTGATGTTGTTGATGGCCCACGTTTCGGTGTCATCGTTGCGAATCATCAATCTCTTAAAGCCTTTCATATGCTTCTTCAAGATCTGCTTCCTAATAGCGTCGATCTCGACGGTGGTCTTATCACAATCTTGTAGCTGTGGCACTCTACCCTTCTTCCGCAGATATCTTTCTAGCAGGAACAGATCCTCCAGTTGGCCTGCTTTAAGAGACTCGATGAAGGTGAGTAGAGCTGGCGTCACGTTGTCGGTGTAAATGCCGGTGAGTGGCAGAGGCGATTGATGTTGCAACTTCGTCATGGTAGCCCAGATACGTCGCTGTGATCCAACGTTTAGCAAGGTGATGTTTTTGAGAGCGTAGGCATCAAAATGCTGCAAGAGAGTTGCGGGCTTGACGGGTATCAGGTATATGGCCAGTCTCTCGATGGGCAGGCCATGCGAAATGCGTAGATACCTTGAAACTGGATCTTCTTGCTTCTCGGGCATCGCTAATGCCTCCGGTGAGGCCGGCTTAGGTGGAGTCAAGTGGCCATTTGGCGGATCTCTCACTGCTTGCTTGCCTTTGTTGATGGTGACTGGAGTGTCCCCGCCCTCTAGGCCTTCATTTTCTCCCAACAAGCCTGACTGCTCGAGCACACCGTTGATTCCCAGCTGCATTTCCTCCATTTCTACGTTGGGCGTTTTATCTTCATCGCCACTACCCTCATTCTCTGTCTCAAATTCCTGATCAGGGCCGTCGTCTTCATCACCACTAGGATACTGGAGATCGGAATCCTCACTGAGGTCTTCGTCTTTCTTAGCAGCGCCGGTCGGAGGGTCCTTATCAAGCGTAGTTTCCGTACCAGCAGATTTTATGGGATTTGGCGTTTTGCCCTGCTCGTCAGAATCAGAACCGTATTTCGGCTTTTGCGCTGGCGGTTTCTTGACTTTCTTTGGCGGGATCACGATATATTTCGACGGCGGCACATAGCCTGGGACGGAATTGGGATTCGCATAATACACTTTGTTGTAGCCAGTAGACTTCCCAGGTGGCGGTGGGGGCATAGGATAGGGCTGATAGCCAACTCCTTGAGTGTCCTTGAAATAGTTCTGCACATATTGGTTCTTTGTTTGAGCCGTCATTTGATCCCAAGCTGCCTTGCTGAAGCCAAAATAGTCCAGAAGCACATCCTCGTGCACAGAGTATGATTTGTAATTGCTGCTGGCCTGAGGAGGCACCTGCCACGAACTGGGAGGGGGTGGTTTAGGTGTTTTGATCTTGATGAGTGGTGCTTTGTTCTTCGGCTTCGATTTTGGCTCGTTCACTGGTCTTGCCTTACCTTCCAAGTACTTAGTTGCAGCCCTTTCAATCTTCTCAATAGCTTTTGAGCCCTTGGACGATGGCTCTTGTTTTGATCGCGCTTCACGGAAAATGGTGCGCATCATCTTCACAAATTCTCTATCCTCCGCATCATTGGTCATGTCATCAGTATCACGATCCAGCTCATTCTGTGCTTCGGTCTCCGCTCGAATTACAACCTCATTAACGGCACTCTCAATCGCTTTAGCATCCAGCTTCGGGGATTTAGGGGCGAAAATTCTGCTCAAAATGGCTTCCTGTCGGGTCTTGTACCATTGCCTAACCTGCTCCGGATTTCCTCCCGCTGGTGCACCTTCATCGCCTGTACCAAGGGGTTGCGAGTCCACCGATGAGGCGTCGTCAGAGGTCGCACCGTCAGAACCATCGACTCGTGGCTTTTCACGCGCTCGACGAGCAAACGAATCTGACAAAGAAAGTTCAAGCGTCTTCAGGGTCTCAAGGCTATTTCGGACACACTCGGCAATCTCTGGAATGTATTCGAGCGTGTCCATATCGAGAGCACACAGAGATTTAAGACCTTTGAACCCCGAAAATGAGCAGGCTTGTTCGACTGGTCTTGCTACAGGTAATTTCGGAACCATGCGGAACGTATTACCAGGCGGATTTGGCTGTGCATACCCATAACCACCGGGAGAATGTGGTCCAGGGGGTGGCACTCCAGGTGAAATAGGACTAGCATTAAGAGAAGTGCCAGATTGATTGGGACCAGAGCCAGTTTTGGGAATTGAATGCAAAGACTGCCCAGCCTGAAGTCGGATGTGCACTCGTCGTAGGTTGGGCATCCGATGTAATGCCAGGAATACCGGAGTACTCAGCTCAATACGAGCATTCCAACTGTAGTATATCGTCAGATAGAATACCGGCGAACTGGCATTGGCTTACTAAAATCCTTCTAGCGAATTCGTTCGCTTTAGAGCTGCTAGTAGTAATGTGTTGAGCAGTTTTCCACAGGTCAAGTCATAGCAAAACTGGCGACAAGCCTGCTCGCCCTTCCCTGCCGCATATCCGGTATCCACAAACACCTCTTTTACATGTCCAGCATAGTTGTAGTCGCTCGTTGCCAATGTCTCGAGCAAGCCAGCCAGATAGTCAACACTCAGTTTTGGAGAGACAGGATCCTCATTAAATGTATGATTGAGGTTGTGGTAAAGCTCGGCCGCAGCTAGTTCTCGGACAGCCTTCGACACCCGACATAGTTGCGCAAGATCATGGTCGGTGGCCTGAAAGATATGTCAGGCTTTTTCTTGACTTTTTCAGATGTTAGGTGAAGCCATGATGACTTACGTTTTCCAGTATCAACGCGATTGTTTCCGACGGGAGGTCCATCAGGCTCTTCTTGACTGAATGCATATTGGAAGCTTGCAACTCGTGGGAAGATTCCATCTTGGGCTCGCTTGTATAGTGGTTGGCAATTCACAGACGTTATGCTTCAGCAAATCTCATGCATTAAAACCTAGGATGAGTCGCTGGCGTGGAATCGGGAGGAGGTCACGGAATTGGAGAGAATGCTGAACACGATAGTTGGGATTCAGTCTTGAAGATGAGCCACGGGGAATGGGTAATACTGGCTGGCATGGTGTCAGAAGCTCTTCTCCACTGGTTTGCAGCGCGAACAGGTCGCAACGTGGGCTTGCGTTGTGCAGCCTGTCTGCGTTGGTAGAGAAGGGTCAGTCTGCCTGGTGAATGCCCCTCTTCTGAATTGAAGCCTACCACTGTCGCTTCAAACCTTCGGAACTGTCGCTATGCAAAGCCAATAGAAGCTGACTTGCTATTATTTATTGGACGCCCATCTCTGGACTTGCAGACGAGTTGCTGCTTGAATTCTGGGCTAACTAAAGGCTAAATTATGTAAGCAGAACGTCGGTATTTGCGTGTCTTCTTTTACACTTGGTGCACATCAGGCTCAGAGGTCTGAAATCGCCTATGACTCACTATTCAAGGGCTTATTGAGGCCGTGGTAAGGTTCCAAGGAGTACCAGCATACATGAATCAGGACCTCAATATCATCTCAAATAACCTCGGGATCAGAGGCCTAGGAGAATTTTTTCCGAAGAGTTGCTCTAATAAAACCATAGGTAGGTAATTCGCAAGTTGCAACGCTCTTTCAGCCATCTGGATTTCTTAAATCGCCGAATCAGAACTCTGTTGCTCGCCTTGGACAGGCAATCTCCTCCGTGCAAACAACCTAATCTCCCTAAGGTCCCGCCTCAGAGGGAGATTGCTAGCTTAAGCATACAGCTTTATGCTTTACAGGCCGTGCTTAGGGCATCAAAAATGCTTTAGCAATGTCGGTGGCGGCACCAACGGCACCAACGGCACCAACGGCACCACCACCCAGTGTTCCTTACATGAAGTCTTCCCTTCGTTTGAGAGGGACATGGGCACGCACGTGCATGATGCCTTGGAGGTCCTCCCCTTAACTCGATTGACGCTGGAAGGTGCTTTGCTACGCTGCTCTCTGGTGGAGGAAATGCTGTCTGACGAGGATTGATGGATAGAAATGCTTGGTCCCGCATGTGGCTCCGCCGCCATGGCCTTCACGGCACCAAGCCTGAGTTAAAGCTTTTCAGCTTTGCAGCTCGAGCCGTCTACGATATCTGGCCCCATAGAGCTTCCAATTTACCAAAAGACCTCTTGCGGCCGTGTAAATCCATATTTCATCATCTGCTTGCCCATATCGAAGGTTCTGGACCGCTCGGGTGCCTGGCGGGCTCGAACCAAGGATGGCTTCGACCCGGTCGTGACGGAGATCGGAGGTGCGCTTCGTATCCGGCAGAGCCGGCCTCTCGCCCTTTCATAACCAATTCATGATGGTACCTTCATAATTCAGGCATCTCGCAAGTCGGAGCACTAGAGCACTGGTGAAAAGGAGTTCTTCAATACCGCGAAAAAGCTTGCCCGCCGAGAACACGCCTCTTATTAGTCTAAAATGTTTTGATGGCTCGGTTCTTCATCTCTGCAAATAACGAAAGTGGCCAAATATGATGATTCACGTCGCGATCGAACTTTCTAGCGCTAGGCCGCCGAAGAGAATAAGAGAGAGGTACTCGAGATTGATGTCCCCTTTCACGATCTTCCAACAGAGAAACATTCGAAGAGAAACTTGAAAGATAGTCGCGCTTGGAAATGGCTCTCATGGTAAGATGTGTTGGAGGGTGCTGAGGATGATGAGGCAATTCAAGAAGCTTGGAAATGGTAAGACAGCTCTACCCAAAGAGTCTGGGAGTGGCTTTCCATGTGATTCACTGCATCCTTCCTCGGTCCCCGTGAGCTGCTAAGAGCAAGCCAAAGCCACGCTAAGATCGAATGATGAAGCAGTCATTCTCATTGCGGCGCATCCTCCGACTTCAGCCGTTATTGTTACCCACAGATAGCTATCGTGATGACTGATCAGCAACGCATTGTTTGGAGTTCTGACTTCTGATGTTGGAATGAATGAGGGTCTGGATTCTGAAGAATAATCCTCTGGAACTCACATGCTCAGGCTAGGCCCGGTCGAGACAACAAGGCAGTGCCAACACTCATACTTAAAGAACTTAACCTCATTGCTCGGGGCATTGAGTTCCTTTTTTTCCATCAGACTTACAGCACAAGATTTAATTCCATTGTTTCATACTATGGAGGAGTAAGTACTACTTATGTATGATCAAGAGTGCCAAGCTTGTGATCAAAAGACGGAGAGAAGTCGTGCCGTCCCCAAAACAGCCAACAGAACGTTGTACCTATCTGGTTTTTAATTTCTATTCACGTTCTGAAGCAACGAGTCAGTTGTGATTCGCGAGCCTTCTACCTAAAGAGCGCTCATATATGGGTACTGAAGACTGTTTTTATATTGTAGCTGATAATAGGGTTGGCCACCCAGCATTATTAACAGCTTCAGCTCAAGCAGCCGGACTTCTATATCACAGCCATGAACTATACGCAGAGTTTCTACGGTGTTTTCTTTGCAACAATCATCAAAAGAAGGAAGATGGCACATACCGTGGGCGTGGTAATCTCAATCAAGAGAAATTTCATCTGCAAACTCTCACATTGAATGATTCCCTCAATCAGCATTCAAGCCTCTACACATTGTGCATATCTCGTCCACTCCTTGTCTGCTTTCAAATACTCCAACGGCTCGCGCAATAAGCTTACCACGATCTCCAAGCCACCAGGATATGCGGTGCCAACACCAGCAGGTTTATCCCTCATTCCATACGCCGGCAGAACCAATACCAACCCGTCATACCCAAAATTATCAAACGTCAATCGTAGCCGCCAAAAGGCTCCAAGTCCAACATCCAAGTCCTCCGGACGATCAAAATACTTTTCCCAGCTTGTGACTACCACATTGTCAGCCAAACCGTGTTTCAAAGCCAGGACCCTGTCTATGGGCGTTGACTGCGCGGCGGCTGCATGCTGTAGCACAGATCGCAGCCAGGTGTCCGAAGTTTGGGCCAACAAGGACTCTCGAAGGGTAACCGCGACGTCGGAAAGAGATGGTGGGTCGACGGAAGTGAGGATGGGGATGGGGACGGATGACGTGGCCCCAAACACGCAGTTGGCGAAGTACTGGTCAGGAAGTGGTGGGTTAAATTTGCTACGAGCATTGATGGTCATAATTAGCGACGAGGTCTGAGGCTGCCCCTCGACATTTCTGTCACAGAAGCGTGCGCGCGTGATGCATCGCCAAAGAAGCGCGCACATGGCGTCATTTGTGGAAATTTTGCGGTTTGCGTGCTTGGAGGCATCAGCATGGATTTCCCGGAGGCATGAAGGCTCCAGTCGGAAGATAGCTTGGCCGACTTCGGTTCTCACGGCCGACGAGAGAGGGTCCAGCGAGGATGTGGATGTTTTGGGAGGGGTGGGGTCGACAACCGTTGGAGAGAAACTGCGTACGCCATTCGGCTCTCGGCGCTCTTGAGGTTCTGCCTGCGGTTCTAGGAGCAATGAGCTTCTGTCATGGAGCGTCATCATCTTCGATATAGGTAGAATCTCCGAGTCTTGCACCACGTTGTCCGTCCGGTAGCCCCGCGCTTTCTTGAACCACCATGTTATGAAATTCGCGATAGCGGTGCCGTCACAGACGAAATGGTGTTTGCTAACACTGATCACAAATCCTCCCTCAATGAAAGTGACTTGACACGAGAACGCGTCAACACCATTTTCTCGATCCGGAATGGCTATCTCGTCAACGCCAGCTGCAAAAATTTCCATCTTCAATAAACGAGTTAGAACCGCCTCTCTCGGGCTCCAGCTGCTTGTAGCTGATGTCATTCCTCTGAGCAACAACAAAGCGAATGCTGGACGACTTTGTGACTTTTATACAATGCCACCCAGCGACCGTGTCTGAATGGATCTTTCCGAGGATTTCAGGAAGCGCCAAAACGCCCTCCCGTGGTTCGCACAAGAACGACTGCAGGCTGGACTGGAGGCGGCCGACCAAGTCGGCTTGGTCGGATGGGTTGCTCGCTCCTTCATAGCACAAGAGGTACCTACTGTTAACAGGTGGCATCATTGCAAAATCCGCAGGAGTAAGAGGGTATTCGGCCTCAAAGGGGACTGCGGGTTTTATTTGGTAAGTGAAAAGGCTGTTGCTTGGAGCCATGATCTTTTTTCTAGCTATAAGACTTCATGGGTGAGCAGAAGAACGATGGGCAGCGGGAAGTAACAAGGAAGAAACTGTGATATTGCCATTAATCAACACGGGACATCTTTCAGATGGCGTGCGTAGAATTCGGCTGACCGAAATCTGGCGCGGTAGAAGCGCATCTGCTCCGGCTGCATACCATCCGACCACCGGATCAATGGTGCAATGCAGATCCAGATGGTGGACTGAGAGCACTAAGCATGCATGCCATCATTAGGAAGGAGAGGGACTGTGGGAAACCTGGCAGCCAGTTACAATAGACAAGACGTGAAGAACTATTAAGCACGGTAAGATAGATATCTTATCACTGACCCTTACAACGTCACCGCCTTCAAGTCTGCTGATTGATTGGGAAACACGAAAGATACCATTGAAGATTCTTTTATCGAATCTGTCCTCGGAACCATTGCATGTGAACCGGGAATGGTGAAGTAGGTCGTGAATAGGTTGAAGCTAAGTTAGTTTGGATACCCCTTATTTGGGTTGAGTATGAAATCCCATTCGCGGTGCGGGCAAGCACAGCCAAGGAGTAGGAAATGCCTTGATTAGCGTCTGTGTGTCGATCGACATGTCCGTCATTTTAATGTTGCGATCTGTATCAAGTTCTCCACTTGATTTCTTCAACAGCAAGAGAGGGAAGGAAAGCTGATCCAGACATGCTGAAATCGTACATCCAAAGATGTATACTGTATTAAGAGATTATCATGAGTAGTTTTGCGGGTAACCTTGATTTTGAAAGGTTTAGCAGTTGTACAATTTGCACGAGACGAGATGGTGCGAGGCATTACGTAGTAAAGAAGGGATTTTACGTAGTACATAGTAAAAGGGTGTGCATCCACTGCAGTGTGTGTTTGCATCAATAATCTTTGCGGGTCGTCCCTTTAGCCACCCAAGGCTGTGTGACATTGTTCGTACAGTTGTTCGGGGTAAGTGCTATTACAAAAGGTATAGTCATGAGTAGTTCTTGAGAATGTAATATTTCGTATTAGCAGTCGGTAGCTTCTCACGTGTTTAAAAACAGTTGATTCACAATTGCAAGAAGGAAGGTACTTCAAGTACTAAACCATCGCCAATGGGGGTATCCGCTTCAATGTTACAACACATATAAATAAGCAGGTGACCTGATCACTTCTCAAGCAGCACTGGAAGTAACACAGTATCTTTCTGCCGCCTGCCTCAGACATTTCTTCGTCGTATCCTGCCGCAAAAACTTGTCGACTTCCTCACTCGAGGTGCTGATGACATGTACATCGTTCAGTGCAAGCTCATCATGCGCTGGTGGAGGTGCCAATCTTATAAAGATCTTCTGATCAGGATAGTCTTTGTGGAGACGTTCGATTATTTTCGCTTCAATCTCACGCTCGACCCCCTCCGCTTCAGAGCTTGCTGACGAAGAGGTATCTGAACGAACAGGCGACTCCACCCACTTTGTCCCACTTGTGGTTATTGTAGAAGAAGTAGGACTGGTATTCAGCGTGTTTGCTTTCCTCAGCCCTGTTCTATTGCTGCTCGGCAGCCAGTAAGGCCAGGAGAATTTTCGGGACAGTTTCTGCAGCTTTTCGATATCGTGGTCGGAAGGAATGCCAGGTCCGATGTTAACTATGATAGACAGGGGCGGTTTCTCTCCGAAGATGTGATATGCTTCGTCCATTGCAATTTCTGTGATATTATGTGGATTGGGGAATCCATTGTCTGAGTAGGTCGTCGATCCAATCGTGTATGGCTGAAGGAGGTATTTGGTCGCGCCGGTAGCTGCACATACAGAAGAAACCTTGCATGATTCTGGATCAGGGCCTGGGCGATAATATGGTCCGGGTGTCTTGGTAGTAGTACGGTATGCTCTGAATACGTCGTATTCCCGGTTGCCTTCGTCAGAGGACTGGATTGCACCGACAGCAAAAGCATGCTTGCACCTAACCTCTATACCTTCCTCCGTCTTCTGCGCCTCATTGTCTAAAAGTGAAGGGTTCAGTTCGTATCTTTCGAGGATACTGTCGATCTTGGAGATCAGGCGTTTTTGATCCAGCGCGTACGGTTTCGAGCCGAACAGAGATCTCGTTGCGGGGAGCTGTGGGTCACTGGCCAGCTCAAGGTAGATGCTCATGCAGCGCGTGAGGTCCAGGCGGTATCGACCGAGAAGTAACGCAAGCCATCCTCCAGTTCCTATGCCACCGATGATATCGAAGAGTTCGTAGGGTGCTGGTTTTCGGTCGGAGGCCTTGTTGATAGCAATAGCATCACAAAGTTTGCTCAGAATGCTGAGTGTGGACAACGCCTGAAGTCCGCCGCCATCTAATTTGTCAGTGGGAAAATTACAACACGAGATGGATATATTACCTAGAGTCAGTATTTTCAACGGTCTCATGTCGTCCGACGTGGAACTGCTCATTGAAAAATTTCTCAAAAGAACAATGACTGTTAATGGGCAACAGGCAGCACAACAGCAAAAGGACTAAGGTGTTATATTGCGTAACTTAGCTTGCGAACGTCAAAACTCCGGAAAGCAGAAGCCTTTGAAGCACCAAATAATGGTCAGGTCCCTCTGAAGTAGGCTGTGCAAGTCAGCCTTTTGGTCAGGCTGCGAACGGGCGTCAAAGCCATCAGGCCCTGCAAACAGAGGGTTACACAGCCACAATGCGCAAACATCATGCCACCCGCTGAAGAAAATGACTAATAATCTTAACTATACGAGCATTGCCTGACACTCTAATTTAGCTTGTGCTGCAGCAAAGCACCCTGTGAATGTCCCACGTAAGGCAACAACTACGACAAGTTTGATACAACATTGCCCCTACGTCAGCGGTTGGAAGCAGGTGCGAGATGCTCGAGGAACTTAAAGGACTATTTGACTCATTGCACAGAGATCCACCCTGGATCGCTTTGATGCAAGATGTTGCCAGTGTGCTGCCTCTTGTGAAACAGCCCTTGGATTAAGCAATGATGGGCAGCCTTATTGACTGGATTGGGCAGTCATGCCACTAAAGCACTGGTCAATGGTCAAGCATAATCGGGCCTTGGACAGGCGGGCTGCCACCACGCTGCGGCTCTTTAGAAGCCTCATGAAACTCACGCAAGGCGATGATCCGGCCCCTGATTCACCTTGGTCTTCGCGCCAATCCGCCACACCCATGCAGGGGACCTTTGTATGACCACGTTGAAGGGTACTTGAATCCTTTGCCTCCACGTAATCTTTTGCGAAATTTGTCCAACAACAGCATGGCACTGAATAATCACTCGTCTTCCAGGAGGCTACGGGTGTTGTCGCTGGGTAAGTTACCGTCGCGCTGCTGGTTTTGACGACTACTGACTTATGCTAGATGGCGGGGGAGTTCGTGGTTTATCTGCGCTTCACATTCTACGGAGACTATTATGTATGATCAACGAGGAGCTCTATGGCACGAGCGAGCCCATGTTACCACAACACGCATTTGATATTATTGTTGGCACAAGTACTGGAGGGTAAGTAGACCGGTAATGGATCTGGATAACAAATGTGTTGATCGTTTTACAGCTTAATTGCATTGATGATCGTGAAGTTGGGAATGACAGTGGACGAGTGTATCGAGCAATATGAATCACTATCCAGGAAGATCTTTGGCAAACCCCATCTCATAGGAAAACGAACAGGCGGGTTTGGGACCACGAAATATTCAGGTAGGAGGATGCGTGAGCTCGTTGTTGAGCTCATCCAATCGAGGAATAGACCAGCCGACTACAAGATGGAGGACACAAGCGGACATCCAGATCTTCTTTGGTACAGTCCTTGCCCTTTAGCTTTGCAGTATGATAGCTAACGCTTGCACAGTTCTGTGGTTTGCCGAGAGCTTGAGAACAACTATACCAGAGCACGACGGGGAGATGCCGTCTTCCTTTGCAGTCACAAGTGCAGAAAGAGACCTCTCAACACCAAAACATATCACGAATGTGAAATGGCGGACGCTAGCCGTGCGACTTCAGCAGCACCTACATATTTTGATCCGGTACGGATAATGAGGAAGATTCTGGTCGATGGAGGATACGGAGAGACGAACAATCCTTCACAAGACGCGTGGCAGCACTATACCGAGCTAAAGGAGATTCTCCATACTGATCGAGTACGATGGGTAAACATCGGCACAGGCACTTCCAAGGACCAATCTTTACCACCCAAAAGAGCATGGAAGGATCTGTTATTGCCCAAATACTTTCAGAACATTATGCACACGCTCCGTGATCTTGAGAAGATCGCGACGGATTCGGAGAACACTGGGGTCTCTATGCGCCTGATCTCAAACATGGACAGATCGCAATTGGATTTTTATCGTTTTAGTGCAACAAACGGAGTACACAAAGTTGCTCTCGACGACTATCTCACAATCGACAATAAAGAGCTGGAACGATTGACCTTGGAATATATTAAGGAGCCAGAAGTTGAAGAGGGGCTGAGGGCTCTCTCTCGCTTGTTAGCCGCCGACTATGGCGAAAAGAGCCGGGTCAGACGAGCTACATTGGAGGTTCAGTATCCGCATTTGGCACCCAAGCCTTCCTCAATACGACAGCTTGTCACAGGTGAACAACCAGAGTATCTGGATCTCCTTTTTCCTGGAACAGGTGTGCCCAGCATGGCTGGTGCCTCGGAGATCACTGCAGAGAGTTCGAATGCGGAGGATACGCCTAAATCGAGGAATGCTATGCTAAATGGTGCTATCTCGATGGTGCCTACTCAGAGTGATAGTACCGGCGTTGGTGATCAGTTCAAGACTCCCAATGTCGATGCCACCGAGATTGGTCCTCCAACTAGATCATCTACAGCACCTGCCAGAGTTTGAGATGCGCGGGTCGCATTGTTCCTCTCGACACAGGGAATTTCTGCTACTGTCTAGCATTTCTGATACCCATGTTCTGATCGGTTGACAAAGCATTTAGCGTTGGTGTCATACTGCAACGGCCGTTTATGAGGAGACCTGTTCTAAAGTAGACCGATGAGTGGGTACATGAGCTTTACACATTTAGACAGTGCCGAATAATGGATGACATTGGGATTGTACCCAGGCCGAGTTTGAATAACGCAGTATTTATTCCCGCTGCTTTCGCAAACTATCATAGCCCGTGCTCATTCACAACAGCAAAATCTCGGCTCTATTCGAGGGGTTGTATGTCCTTCCCACACGCTGCAGCAGAGCTCGTGCGAGAATGCCACTGCTATCACTTCCACCAGAGCTTTTGCTCATGATTTTACGACATGTGGGACCATATGGATTTCAGCAGGACACCCGGCGATTGTTGATCTGCCAACAATGATATTCCATTGCACGGATCATCTTGCTCGAAGAGCTGCATTTGCTGTCAAAAGCTTGACACGCTTGACATGCTTGAGCAATCGTCGACTTCTGGCAGCACAGATGTTTCCAGGAGTGTATCGTCGAAGGCTATCGATCTGACTCGACGATTGTGAGAAAACTGTTTGGCAACGGAGCAAATACCATGTCACACCATCAAGGCGAATTCCACGGAAATTTTGTCGCAACAAGTGGCAGAAGGTCTGCGGAAAGAGAATAAATTGAGATCGCCCAAGGTTTGAAACTCCCTGGACCAGAGATAATGGAGCCTACAAAGTCCTCAAGCTCACGACAACAGCCGCATTGTTGGGTACTTTAGGGAAGTTCTATTCTGGGTTTCCTCGACCACAGTCTGGCATCGTCTCTGAGAAGTCTCAACCTGGACTTGGCTAATTCTTTTCATAGACAGTCTGTCAACAGTGCTCACTACTGTCATGCCGTGGCAAAATTGCTACCTACTCTATTTCACGCCGGTATACGCTTGCCTAAGCTTTGTCTCGAACAGTTTCAGGAACATGACGTTTCTTTGCAGGAGTATCTCGTGTAAAGGCTGTCTCAGTATGCGTCAGCGTGAATGATGGGTGGTGTGCTGACATCTTTTCTAACTACTGTCTGTCTGGTGTCTATGGCCAGCTTTGTGGGACTTCTCAAATTAGCCAACTTGGTATTCACATGGAAAAGGTTATTTATCTTTGAACCCTACTACTGTACTCCGTATAGTACGTAATTGGGACAATTTGCTTGGCAGCCTCAAGTCCCTGGCAAGCCGATCGCCTGACTTGGAGATGGCGAAACTCCTCCAACATCCCATCGCGTGATGAGAGTCGTTGCCTGATCACCCTTGATTGTCTTGCTGGAGAAGAGTTTACGATGGGCCAAGACACTGATTGTACTGCAAGTGTTGAGAGCGATAAGCACGAGTCCGGATGTACCATGCCTACCTCTGCAACTAAAATTGAATCTCTGGCCAGCCATTGAGGAGAGCGATAACCTCAGGTCGCGGGCGGTAGGCCTGGCCGAACGCAGCAAGCTCTGGCTGATCCAACTTCCAAGATTTGCCCGATGTTCAATTACTCGCCTGGGTGGCCCTACTTACTCGCCAGCAATCTAGGCACCTTGACTCCGCATAGTGGTTACGGTTTTATGCGAGATGTCACCCGTCCCCCCCCAACCATGAAATAGACTGGTAATACATGTTTGACATAACCTGACGGCCACATTATGAGTACTTGGTGTACGGAGAATGAACGACATGCAATAGGCCAGTGCAGGAGCCTGTCAGTCTTTCCAACAAGACCAATCCATTTCTGGTCCTTAGGTTGGTGCGTCTGGTACTGACACGGCAGATGAATCTAGCATTGACCGTTGTGCAGGTAGAGAGCATATGGCGCTGATCTCTATGACATGGCTACACACAGAAGCACTTCAAAAGTAGTCACCAAAGACATCCGGGAAGGGTGGATTGCCGACGAGAACGCTGTCAAAATATGGAGAATTTTGCCATTCATGCACCACAGTGGCCTTGAAGAGCAAATACAGTCGAGCTTCGCACACAACCATTCCTTCCTATAATGCTTTCCACGTCAATGCAAGAGTCTTTCAAGTTGTAATGAAGCTAACATCTTGTGCTTAACAGTCATAGCTAGAGACTGGAAGGTCTTCCGACTCGCCTACATTTGTTCATTTCGAACCATAGAACTATGTTCACTGACAGAGAGCAGCCGGTCAAGGATCTGTTAGTAGCGACTTGAGGCATCATCAATTAAGCCAGACAAAGAAACGAACGCATTCGATTCAAGAATGCGACATCTCCACACATGACAATGTAAGTATCCATGGTCGAACAACATTGGCTACCTTCAAGGTGAAACAATTACATCGAAATCCACTGATGGCGGTGGAAGTGTTTCGGCTGAGGGAATCAGTCTAAACCCATAAATATGAATTGTGCATAGGCAAACAGCATCATTCCATTGTAGTGACAGATATCGATCGAAAAGATTGGAAGTCTCATCCCCCATGTTATTGGAATCATTTGAGTCAATCTGAGACCAAGTCTTGCATATGCTCGGCCGTCAGAGTGCTGGCAGTCTGGAAGCAACGACATGCCGCTGCCCTTCTGAGACTTCTACAGCATCCTGCGGTGATCCCCGCAAGCTATGATGAGACAACAATCATTACCTTCAGCATTAGGCCTCTTGTCCCGACAATATCTCAAGGTTATAAGTATCAGCGAATAGGACCTGGAAAATCAGTCGCTTCTTCAGACCAGTGCCTGATCCATCACTCATCTCCAGAGATTCAAAAACCAGGCGCTTCCGTTCTAGCCCATCTCAAGTCCTTTCGAAACAGCCAAAGTCAGCTTTTCCGATCATAATCAGCGACCTCTTACAACCCGTATTTGCAAATGAGAGCCCACTCAAGATCAACATCTGGAAATGCATCTCCAACAGAACCTGACACAAGCGCCCAAAGAGCAATAATCGAAAGTGTTCAATCCAGCAATATGCACAGACGAGGAGCATTCTCCGCAGCCTCTGCGACTGCACAGGAGCTTAATGATTTCCGCATGATATTGCGGCGCCAACGAACCACTACATCCAATAACTCACCACGAGACATAGGGCTTGTAAAGAAGAGGAGGAGTCTGAACAGGAATCTGAGCCAAAATCTCGCAAGCAAGACAACCAAAGAACTCAACCATGCCATTGTGACCAGCAACCTCCAGCAATCTAGCACGACGAACAACGCAGCTAATCTGATGTGCTTCGATGAAGAAAATGACATCACCGGCGAGGAGGACGCAGAGGATCTGCCATTGATGTTCAGCGGGTCAGCCTGCTGGTTCTGTTACAGCAGACTGAAGCAGGACCTGCGATGCTACTGTAGAAGATGTGGCTTTTTGAACTCTGGACCCGCCGGGCCGGGGTTAGGATGAGACATTCGGATGAGTGGTTCTTTGTCACTGAGTGTGCTTTCAGGCGCTAGATACCGTACTGCGAATCTTGATCTTCATGTTCCCGGCGCCTGTCAATTTCAGACACGCCGCATTTCATCCAGCTGATGTCCGCAAATTCTCAGCTTGGGAGGAGGCTACCCCCCATCTCCTTTGTGTATGAAAGTGAAAGGTCCTCTCCCTTTTTCTACGCCGTCTGTCTACTCGTTAGGACTTTCTTTCACAAAACCCTTTTTCAATTAGCTGCCTTGCTTTATTATATTTTCTTCTATGGAAGTGATCAAAGGGCTATCAAGTCAGCTAGCTGGCCTGCCTGCCTGCATCCAGCGAACAAGTTGGAAGAACAAAACCAGTCGTTGCATTTGCGAATACGCCTAACTAATCATTCCGCTTATTCACCCATCCCCATACTATATAGTAGGGACAAGTAGTGAGTGTTGGTTCCGGTGATGGAAGAGGTACTAGTGCCAACCGTGGCTGTGCTGGTGAAGATGTTGTTCGGAGAAGGTGTGGATGACTTAGTAGGATGTCTCCTGGTTCTTCTGTACGAAATGGCAAGTCGAGGGAAGCTTGGGAGCGGAGCGAAGGGGGAGTGGGATGCGGTCCTCAGCTAAACATCTAGCAAATTCCGCGTGTCTCTTTCTGGAAGGTAGGGAGCCCGGTTGCAATGTATCTACTTAAGGATATGAAGGCTGAGAGCAGAGATGCTTTCTCTGATAATTTATGGTCGGTCAGGCAACTTTGCTTCCGCAGTATAGCTACCTGTTGAACACCTAACCACCTAGATTATGCTCGAAGAGCCCACCAGGAAGCATCGTGGTATCATAAGCGCTTCTGTGAGCACCCAACTCCCTCCAGGTGCCCCATCGCAAGCCATGCAATGTGCCCCTGTCCCTACAAATATTAGATCCAACGCACTCAAGCCAAACTCCTCAATCCCTAAGCACATACTCCTTCCTCCCCTTATCGAAATCCATGATCTTCCTCCCCCGATGATTCTTCGCCATCATCCACCGCACATAAAGCACCAATGCGTCCTTGAGCACCACAAACAGACACCCGCCCACCACGCTCCTGCCCCACTTCGTCCGCAAAAGCCGTTCCCGGCCGCTGTTCCGGAAGAATGTGAAGCTCGAGGAGGGTTTCACGAGTGATAAGGGGAGGGTGTGGTGGAGAAGCTCGCCCATTCCGGCCGCGATGCTGGGAAAGAGAAGGGCGCCGAGGGTGGTGAGGAAGACGGAGGATGTATCGGTTAAGATCTCGTTGGGGCGGCGGTTTAGGAGGGCAGGCTGGGGTGCGGGGCCAGGGTTTGCATTGGCATTGGCGGGAGGGTTGTTGTTGGCTGCTTGGTTGGCTACAGGGGGGGCATTTTCTGCCGCTGCAGGTTGTACCTCTTCCCTATTTCCGGGCTGTCCATCAGGCCTAGCTCCCTGCTGCTGCTGCTGTTCAGGCTGTTCTTCGTCTTCATCATCTTCTACTCCTATCTCGAGATTGAGTTCCAGAACCACATCACCATCTGCTATATCATCAACCGCTGCGGCCGCGTCATTGGCGTGATCTGCTTCATTGCCTTCGCCATCTTGCCCGTGCCGTGGTTGGATCTCTTGCAGCCATTTCCTGTTGAGGTTGCCAAAAGCTTTTTCGTAGAGATAGTTGTAGCAGTTCCGGACCACAGGTAGACAGCCAAACACTGTGCTCGGTCGAGGTGGCCAAATAGTCCAATCAATGGCAAACTTCTCGCTGAGCTGTGTGGCAAAAAGGAATATCGTGCTTCCAGGTAGCACGAAATCTGCGTAATGCGTCCGTGCTGCGATCAAGCTCACCGGAATAAGAGCATATGCGGACAACCAGCCCCAATGTCGGTTGGCTCGTGCATACAGTTGCATAGCCTCTCTTTCACCGAAAACCACACGCACGGAGTGTAATCCGTGGTAGAAGCATCCCGCCCAGATGGTAGTACCAAGAACTCCTGCCATTCCAGGCAGAGTCAAGGTGCCTGTCAATCGTTCCCATGCTTTCACGCCAGACAGAACCAAACTTCTCGGTCTTGCGATCTTGATCTCGGATTTGCATTGTGGACATTGAATCTTCTTGGGTGGTCCGCCACCACGTCTGCTTCTAGGATTTTCCAGATCTGCAACCCAGTCCAGCAGGCATGCCTCATGAGCGGTAAGATTGCAAGTACACGGCGATCGCCATTGTGGAGGGTGTGTAGGATCATCTTCGGTGGAGTCGCATATACAGATCCAACATTTTTTTATGCTGAGCGTGGAGGAACGGGAAGGCGCAGGCGGGCGGTGAGGCTGCGATGTTTCTGTGGAATTCTCGTCTTTGGTTTTAGGAATAGGATTGTCCAGAAGGACAGTCTGAGAATCTTCGGATATCATGGATGCCGCGAAGTGTTCATCTGGAGAGGATGTCTCGGGTGGATATTGTCGTTGACTGGTAGGTGATATGCTTCGGGGCGACTGCCGCGGTGGTACCGAGGCCATCTTAGGCCTTGGGCGAGGTACCTGGGTTTTGAAAGGCGAATCGGCGGGCCCTATTGTCAATCACTATGCGGTACAAAAAGTGTTCAAGGGTGTTCCGATCCAAGGGAGTAGATTTGATTGAGCACGGTTGTAACCTTGAGGATACATAAGAGCTATAACATAGGCCAAGATAGGCAACCGGAGACTTGGCGCTGGTGAGCGAGATTCACCGATAGGTTCTTGTTAGGAAGAGAAACTGCTAAAGTTATGCCTATACGAGTAGAGCCGTCAATGTGCGTTTAAGATGAGCCTCTGCATTAGGAGATGTAGCCTATGTTGGAATGTGTAGTTAAGTGGCCAAAGATCTATGTTCATCACGTGTACGGAGTACTTATTGATGTCTTCCCTAACTGGTGATGTTATCATACTACGGTCTGAATATGCCTCTTCTACTACACCAATAGGGTTGGCATCCGCCAAAATGGTTGTGTCTTCCTTCCTTGTGTTGAACCACACATGAGCTTTCGCAAACAGTGTCAATTCTCGCTCAGGGAGGTAGCATGCGCCCCTGGCAGCTCATCTCATCTACTCATCTACTCATCTTGGCTAAGGCCGATGCCAATGCAGGTCCTCCGGTCCGTGCATGCTCCTCAGAACTCCGTGCCTATCCGCGCTTCGACCCCATTTTGTCCGTCAAAAATCATAAACTCCAAGACATGTATGCAGTTGTAAAGATCCTTCAACAAGTAACAAGGCGAGGCTTAAAATATTGTTAGTTCAACGCTGGTATCTTTTACCTGTAAGCCCCCCATAGGCAGAACAGCTACAGAGTATGTCCAAAAGAGCTGTTTGTGATAATGTTTTGCCTTGTCAGAAGGCGTGTACACTAAATAAGCCGTCATTGTAAATCACAGCAGTGTGTCCCCATAACAAGGATCAGCCGCTACTAGCACCAGACTAACATTATTTTAGGTCCATTAAGTACGGTAAATATTAGTATTTGGAATATGTAGAAAAAGTACTCCGTACTTGACAAGCCACATAAATATTTGGAGATTTAAAGTTTCAACCCGAGCCCGGGGAGCTCGCACCGACCTACAGTACTAGTTTAAAAGTATCCGACCAACCCCACTTTCGCACCCCACCAACGTTTCTCACCTCCTTCATACAAATTACTATAGCAACTCTCAGAATTTACGGATTTTGCTGAAAAATAGCTCAAACTGTGTGCTAATACCTAGGGAATGAAGCTAACCAATTTTCCCGAATAGGAAGTCAGATATCAGTATCTGGTGTACCAACCCTTTGCTGATATCACTGTATTAATGCGAGTATCCATGCTCTTAATCAAATTGCGTACAACTTCTTCGCCAATTGAGTCCCATGCATCATGAATAGCGCTAAACAAACGTTGATAGTCCTGTTCCGATTTGCCCATATTAATTAGCTCTGGGTAATGCTTGTTAATCCATTGCTTGAGTTGCGCCCAGAGGTGTTCAATTGGGTTGAGATCAGGACTATAGGCCGGCCATTCCATCACTTCTATTCCCTCCTCTTCAAACCAATTAATAATCTTTTTAGCAGTATGAATTCAGGCGTTATCCTGCATGAATTTGCGACCTGGCTTATAGATCCGAGGGATCTGCTCATGGAGAACAGTTAGATATGAGTTGGCGGTATATCCAGATTTCTCTGAATCAGGATCACGCTCCAAAAGAACGATATCCGAACGACCTTCTCCATGAATAGCACCCCATATCATAACACTGATGTCTTTGCCTTTCTTATAGGGATCAATCATATCCTTCTCCCAGCGTTGTTGTGGCGTACGAAAGACCGAAATTCCGACGTGCCCCAGAGCCTCTTTCTAGCGAACATTCATCGCTAAATATTATCTTGCTCCATTCATTCCACGTCTAATCTTTTCGTTTTAAACACCAAGCTAGGCGTTTAGCAGCCAATTGAGGAGTTAATAGAGGTCTCTTTTTGCTGATCCAATTGGTAATACCCTCATTTTTGAGTGTTTGATAAAGGGTAGATCGAGAAACCTCCACCCCAAGTTCAAGGGCTAATACGTGATAGGTAATCTTTGGATTAGTTCGTACAATACATAGAATATTGCGTTTTTGAACGCGATTCAAGGCAGGGGGTCGTCCTTTTCGAGGCAAGCTTTTGCCGTTATGGCGCAGTGGATTTTGTACAAGATTATCGAAAACAGTGGTTTTGCTGCAATGCAAGTTCTCGCTTATTTGCTGATTTGTCAGCCCTTGAGCTTTGTACGCTGAAATTTGACCCCGTTGGTATGGAGATAACTCCTTTCCATAGCTTCTGTTAATTTCTAGAGGCGCCAAAGCCCTGCGTTGATTCATGGTTGTTGTTGGCAAAAGGAGTAGAAAAACGCGTGTGTAGAAAAAACGCGGTTTTGGTCGGATACTTTTCGGCGTAACTGTACTACCCCGGCCCACGTCAGGATCGGACCCAACCGCATCCTTTGCTAGCCGTCCTTTGCCATTGCATCCTTCGTCCTTGTGGTCATACACTCAGCCTCCAGTGGATTTTTCGATGGGCTGAGACATGCTTGAAGGAATGTCCCAGGACGTGGGCCCAGGCCTTCTCATTCGTGAACCTGTGCTGCCTCAGCTCTTCCTCTGATCAATAATGAGTCGCCATATTTGCACACCTATCTTATCTTCTCTGTGTTTCTTCAAGATTCCAGCATGGCCATTTTGGCATGCCATCAGCCCATGTTCACAATCCAAGAGATAATGACGACACAAGTCCTACGCCTTCGTTCGAGCTTTATCGACATATTACACTTTTGTCGAACATGAAGAAACGGCTCTGTTCTCTCTCAGAAAGGGCACAGCGCGCGTAGATATAAGTACAAATTCGCCGTACGCACAGCGAAATTGCAGTGGAAATTGGCCAATCAAAAGCAGGGAAACGCAGGGGTTTTGCGTAGAAAGTCCCGCCGATGAACTCTCATAACGTCTGACAACTTTACAATACAGTGAAATCCTCGGACGGATGTGCCATCGTGCTCAGCCACTAGCTTCTAAGTCCAACAATGTCGACTACAAAGCACCAACCAGGTCTGCCCGTGTAGGAGCGATCTCCAGCTGCGACAGCGGATTCATATCACAATGCCTGAATGGGCGATCTGTTGTGGGGCAAAACGCCTCGAGCCTTATCTTCCCTACACGGCTAGATAGCTCTGCTAGGTGTTCCTGTTGCCAACGCCGCGTCTTTTGCAATAAAAATCGACGAGTTGGCAACCCGAGACTTAAGAGCGCTCGCTCTAATTTATTAACCCACCAACTTTTTACTCTCTTTGGGAGGAACCTACAAGCAAAGCTCATCGTCGGTTGAAAGTCGACATGATGCAGACGTTGCATCGTCCACATAGGACTGCTATTTCCTCGGCTTGTGAAGGGCACGGATGCAAAGTTGATCCTGAAATTACAAGATCACTATGTCTAAGCTGTGGCTCGACCTATTGCGAGGTTTGGTGGGAGGAGCAAGGTCCGCACAGGCCTGGAAAAGTCGGCCTTGATGGCTTGCCGCATGAAAAAATCAACAGGCAGGTCTATGATCGCCTGAGACCTATTCTTGAGCCACCAGAGGACTCGGATGAGCTCAGTCGATTGCACGTTGAAGATGAAGACACCGCCTGGTTCGGCGTTCAAAAAGACACCATGGGTAGGCCAATATTCTACGATTATGGCCGCTATGCCGCACTTATGGCAGAGACGAAGCAACCAAATGCCGGCATCCGATACCCTCAACTGGTTTCCTTCGTTGGCCATACCGGTACATGATCCAATCTGTTGATAAACCTCGGTTTAAGGCTTGCTGACATAGTGTAGGTGGGGGCAAAAGTACGCTGATCAAGATGCTTGTATCACTGAAGGAGCAAAAGCTCTCTTTTAGCTCAGCATCGCCTTTCAGAAGCCCCGTTGTTGGATCTATCAAGAATGATAAGTCACCCACATCCGGAGACGTTCACCTCTACGTGGACCCAGAGACTGCTTATGGACCTCTTCCCCTGCTATATGCCGACTGTGAAGGACTTGACGGTGGCGAGGCCGCACCGATGGCCTATAAGATGCGCGAGAGTATGCAAAAATCAGGTCAAGGCCATCTACATCGACGACTCTTCAGCAGTCACCCTCGAGAACTAGTCTACGCGAAAACAAACAGTGAGGCTAGAAATAGGGAGTGGGCTGTGCGAAAAGTATACCCTCGCTTACTGTACACGTTCTCTGATGTTGTAGTGTTTGTTCTTCGAAACACAAGGTGAGAATGATTTCAAGCATACGCAATCATTCTATTTACAGCTTGGCTGACCGCCTCAGAACATTTGAATCATCTGCTCTCAAGCTCTTACTCGAGTGGGCTGCTACATAGGTGGAGTCTTCCATTAATCAACCAACACTTCCGTATGCCATTATCGTGCTCAATGCCACAAGCATCTCAGTGAATGAGGAAGAATGGGATACCTCGACTGCAACCAAATACTTGATGCAGCATGTCGCAAACGCAGTCTTTGACGTACCTATTTTTATCAAGTATGCTCAGCGCTGGCAACGAAGAGGTAAAGCAATTCACAATATGCTTGATCTTATCCGTTGCTACTATGCAAACATCTCTGTCGTTCGAATCCCTACAAAGGGTCGATACATGTTGGCGTATAAACAGATCAACATGCTCCACCTTGAAATCATAAAAAATTGTGATGCATCCTTCCAGGCAAAGAACGATGCGCATATGCTTTCGAATGCCGATGAACTCAATACCTACCTACAAGCCGGTTTCGATCACTTCACAACGAAAGAGGATCAGCCTTTCAATTTCGTAGAGGTGGCCATGAAAAACAATCCCATTCCACGGGATTTTGGTGACCATATCTTGGGAATAGCAGCAAAGGTACGAAAGGTCACTGGTATCCGTGACGGTCCAGAGCTGTTCACGAAACTCAGCTTTATGGTAGCATCGAGTATTTTCTTAGATTGCATCAGCCAACGCCGGTCAGGCAAGTTTTCAAATGTCTTGATTGTTGTCACACTTGTTGGCTAACTAATTCCAACACATAGGCAAGGCGGTAGATTTGTTTGATCAATTCTATGCAAGCTCATGTACAGCAGCTCTTGAACATTTCTGTAACAGGCATTGGCCCTGTAGTTTTAGCGAACAGGGCAAGCAATGCGTCAATGTGAAGTCTTCTCACAGTACGAAAGGTCACCAAAGCGCAGATGGCACAATAATATCAGCAGGGCAGTACGTTTCAGAGTTCTCCTCACGCAACTTTAGCACCAAATGGAAAACCATGATTAAAGGCCACCTGCAGCAAGTGGAACACCAGCTTGCAGAGGAGAAGTCCAACAAGTTTCAAGCATCGTTTGGCGCCGACGATAAGATGGCCTACGATCTACATCGGAGATGTATGGAGTATTTCTATCGCTCATTCGAGAATTTAACGCAACACATTTCAGCAGTTTGACCACATGCTTTAGTTGCTTAACAGAAGTGCCACAGAACCCATTGCAGTGTGGCCATGTTCTATGCACGGCTTGCATCAGAGCTTACGGGCGCCCTAACGATCGAAACTCTGTCATAATGGATTTTTGTCCTCTACATGCGAGCAGAATGAATTGGATTGTCCATTTCAAGCCTGAGTATGCAGGCGTAAGGGTTCTTAGCCTAGACGGGTAAGTGATATGTCCAAGTATGTTCTACATAACCTTACAAATTTGAAAGTGGCGGTATGCGAGGCATTGTTGAACTTGAAGTTCTGAAAGCGGTTGAGCAGGCATTGGGCGGCAAAATGCCTGTACAAGCGTTCTTTGATCTTATAGTAGGGACAAGGTTAGTGCATCTAGGGCTATGGAACATCCGATATGCTTATGTCGAAAATAGCACGGGCGGCATTATCGCTCTAGGACTCGGAGTCAAGCAGTGGCTTGTGGACCACTGCATTACTGAATTTGTTCGTCTCTGTGACCAAGCATTTTCCCCACGCGAATTCGACAATGTGGGTGGCTTAACACAAGCAACCACTTTAAGACACGGCAGCAAGTATCGAACGCAACCGCTACGCCGTGCTCTATATCATGTTTTGGGCGAAGAATACCTTTATGGCGGCCCTCGAAAGGTTCATCGCGCTTACGGCACGAAAGTTGCTGTGACAGCAACTACGGAACCGGACAAAAACCTGTGATCTTAGCAAACTACAGCCGTCAGGAGGAGAGCGAACCTAATTACAGATTCGAGTTCCCACATGAACTGCATGTCTGGGAGGCTGCAAGCGCCACATCAGCCGCCCCGTCCTTCTTCAAGCCGTTTCAAAGTCATGGGAAACAAGTCTATCTCGACGGTGCAGTATACTATAACAATCCTGTCAGAGTGGCACATCATGAGCGCAAATTTCTCTGGCCCGATGTTGCAGAAACGCCTCCAGATATCCTTCTGTCGATTGGTACAGGAAAGAATGGGCTTAAAGTTGACGAAGAATTGCACAGGGACGCGGTGGATAGTTCTCTTGTACGACAGGCCAAACCACAGTCCAACAACAGACTTAGCCGATGGAGAGAGAAAAGCGTCGCCCAAATAAAGAGACCAAAACCATTCGAGCTTGTACTCAAGTATTTCAATGTTCTGGTAAGTACCCTCAAGCTCTGCTCCAGCATCCAAGCAATTCCCCTTACGAACATAGGTCAATCGGATTGACAATATACTTGACTCTGAACGCGAGTGGAGGCAATTTTGCAGTGATGTCCTCGATGGCAAACAACGAGAAGATCATGAGTCCCATCACATCCGTATCAATATCGATCTTGGCCAAGATCCACCTGCCTTAGACGACAAGGCCAGACTGGCAGACCTCCAGGCACAAACTTCCGAGATACTCAGGAGTAGTGAACACCAATCAACCATTGAAAAGGTAGCTTACCGGCTTATTGCTAGCTCATTCTATTTTCTCAAGGATGAGCGGATTGGATTTGACGAGGCATCCCAAATGTGGGTTTGCACAGGTATGACCTCATGTGTTTCATACCACTCAAGAGGTAATACTCATGCTTCCACAGGGAGGATTCTATGCCGTTTTGATGGCAATTCAATTGAGGTTCGCAACAATATGCGTTCATTGGGCGAGTTCTTGCGTTCCCAACAAAGGCCTGACTACCAGCCATATTTCAGCATCAAAGAGAAAGCGGATGATCCAGATCTCAACACGGTAACGATGACCACGACTACTCTAGATGAAGAGAGCACTAACTATGAGGAAAGATTGAGATTAATCGGAAGACGATCGAGCATATGATAGCGACAGCTGAGTTCTTCTTCGATGACCCATTAAAGATTCAAGTTGCCTCTCAGTTGAGTCCTACCACTATCTATCTAAGTCTTTGCGATACACAGCGATTCAAGCCAGACCTTTATCCGATAAGTGGATTCCCCAGGTTTCTGGTCACAGAAGATACTGCAAATGGTGTGTCCGAACACGCTTCTGTCGGGATAGCAAGCTAACAGTAGTTGAGCAACACGCCTCGATAGGCGGGCTGAACTCATTAGAGAAAGAAGATACAATACTTCGCCAATTGCGAGCGATCTCAAAGATGCACATTCAATGGACGAGGCGGTGGATAAGACTAATTCAGAAGTTGACGAGCTTGGGGATGGTGGCGCCTTCGTGTCAAGCAAGGCCGATGACCTAGCAGTCTATGGTGACAAAAAGTCACCGCCATCACACTCGGAGGTGCTTGATGAACACGGAAGAAGTCTATCCAGACAGCCGCAAAACGCAAAAACATTGGCTACCCAGGAGCTCGAAAAAATGCGGCTGGAAGCCCACACAGTTGAAGATACAGCGGCTTTTGCTGATTCATCGACTGGAGCAACAAACAGTGGGCCCTTCGAGCGAAGCATTTCCATTGGCAATCTCAGGACACATAGCCATGTCACCTCCAACACAACGATTGTTGATGCTGAGGGACTGATGAGCTCGGATCCGAATTTGGTTGGATCTGTAATGGGTCCTGGGTTTGACAGTGACGATTCGGACTGACTTCCTTCGACTTTGAACCAAGTAACAGCCCAGTCATATGAAGGATTGAACTGCTTCACGAACATCTCGGTCTGCAGGCTAGACTACTAAGCTAGAAGAACCGTATCGGTCTCTAGTCAAATACAAATCAGAGTTTCACTCAGCCGCAATTCGGTGTGGCAGTGCAGGTGGAAATGAACTGATGTAATTACATTCTAGTCCAAATTTTCTAGCATAAGCTAATCATCGAATGAAAATGCTCTCTACTCTCCACCTCTCCACCACAGCATGTTTTTGCAAAGACCATCTTTCTGAAGCTGGTTGGTGGTTGGGCTACCTTGTTCTTACAGCAACGAGTTCAGAGTATCACGAAGAGACACTGCCAACACTTTCTAGTACTGCGGTGGGGGGCGCGATAGTCGTGAGGGCGTTGCTGGACCGATTCGACCATGGCCCTTGGACTGGTACTGGTTGAGATGCCTGGCTTTGATGAGGTATCATCGAGTGAGAACACGCCATTCGATCTTACAATTTTATCTGGTCAAATAAGCGCGACGTCTACCATCCCTTACTACTTCCGGTCTACTGTTGTTGCTGCGTTGACCATTTCTCGTTAGGGCCTGTTATTCTGTAGAACGGCGCTCTGGCTGGGTAGAAAAAGCACATCATCCAGCGAAAGTATTAGGGGGCTGAGCAATTATATATGAGATAGGCTGTAGGCGTATGAAAGAACTCTCACTGAAGTTACAAATAAACTACAAGTCGAAGCGTACGAAAAGCGTCATTGAATTACAAACGAAAACTGACAGTAGGGGCCGGAGCGGCCGAATGGCCCCCACAGGCACATTCAAACATCGCCAACCCACTACTTATTTCACTCAATTCATTATGTACATGGGCGCCAGTCTCGGCTCTCGCCAGATAGATACCGCTTCGCACTTTTCTCGCCTTGCCGATTAAGTATTAAGGACAAATGTTCAGGTAATTTTGTCCCAATTGATATTTACGCTGGCCTGAGTCCCCGCCCCACTTCCACTCCCATTCCCACAATGGACGAGTCAGTACCCAACTTTGCGTCGCTGACTGACATATACTGTGATACGTCTACCGCTGGAGGTATACCGCTGGACTTGTCCACTCGATGGAACAGCTTACTCTCGCTGTTCAAGGAGACTTATGGGTGCGCACCAGATTTCGTGGCGCGAAGCCCTGGCCGAGTCAACATCATTGGGGAGCACATTGATTACTCTCTTTACGATGTACTTCCCATGGCAGTCACTGCGGATGTCCTGGTGGCCGTCAATGTTTTGCCTTCGCCTATTGTCAAAATAGCAAATCTCGATGCTGAAAGATTCCCCTCACAAGAGTTTCGTATTCCTGTGGAAGGAGATATCGAGATTGACGCTTCAAAACATGAATGGACAAATTACTTTAAGGCTGGCCTCAAGGGCGCACTGCAGTTTTTGCGCAGAAAATGTGAGGGTGACTGGAATCCTGTTGGCATGGAAATTGTCATAGATGGCACTGTTCCTGCTGGAGGTGGCATGTCCAGCAGCGCGGCCTTGGTTTGCGCATCTGCTCTGTCCGTTATGGTAGCCAACAGTCATGATGTCTCGAAGCGTGATCTACTCGACCTTGCCGTTGTCTCCGAACGAGCAGTTGGGGTCTTCTCAGGGGGGATGGATCAGGCAGCTTCGATCTTCTCGAATAGAGACTATCTTCTTGACTGCGCCTTCTTTCCTTCATTCCATGCCGAGTATGTCCCGGTACCTCGATCAAATCCTGAAATTACATTCCTCGTGGCGCAGTCTTTTGTTGCAGCGGACAAGCATGTTACAGCCCCGAAAAACTACAACTTGCGGGTGGTTGAATGTACTTTTGCAGCGCTTATCCTTGCGAAGTTGCATGAAGTGGTACTGAAACCAGACTCGAGCCCGCTTGGTTTCAGCTTGAGAAATGCTCAAGAGGAGATTATGCGCAAGCAGGACCGACTAGACCAAGCGCCAGAAGAGCAGCTCAGGGCCATGATCTCTATAGCTGAAGAGAAATTAGAAAAGGAGAACGGTTACACTCGGGAAGACCTTGCCGATATACTTGGAACATCGGTCAAGAATTTAGAAGAGGAACACATGTCCAAGTTTCCTGTTCAAGCCGACAAATTCCAATTGCGAAGTCGAGCATTGCATGTCTTCAGTGAAGCAAGGCGGGTTTTCGACTTCAAAAAGATTCTGTCTGACGTACAGAACGGCCACGGAGGTCTTCGTGACCAGGAACTCCGCTTGTTGGGCAATCTTATGAATGCCACGCAGAAGTCTTGTTCGGAAGTCTATGACTGCAGCTGCCCTGAGCTCGACGAAATCTGTGCCATCGCCCGACAAGCCGGAACGTATGGCAGTCGTTTAACAGGTGCAGGCTGGGGCGGCTGCACGGTGCATTTGCTGCCACAGGGCAATGTAGAAAAGGTGACCAAGGCGTTGAAGGAGGAATATTATTACAAGCACTTTCCCGACATTACGGAGGAGAAGCTCAAGCAGGCATTAGTGATCAGTAAGCCGAGTTCGGGCTCGGCAGTGGTTACTGGTTCTGCGATGGAGCTTCATCATAGCATTTAAAAATCTCAGCGAGGTCTAGGTATATAAAGTCAACTGGAGACAATGGTCTACCATTCGCCAGGAGAGGAAATTTTCCGATTGGCGGTCAATCACTGCAGTACTACTCGAGTACCTATGTAACCATAGTGGTCTAATTGCGAGCCGAGGAATTTCCCCACATTTGGTCTGCCCTGGGCACAGTTACCATCTACAGTAGTATTGCTCCACGAATGTACCCAACCCAATTAAGCTGAGACTAGACTACGCCGGTTATCGGCGTAGACATTTTTCCCACTCTCCCACACCAACGCCCTTCTAAGGTGGGAGTCATCCTTTCCCACCCCTCTTCTCGGGTCGATGTAGCTCTACCAATTACCAACAGGCATACAACCTTCATAATGGCAGCCAAAATGATGTCTTTACGGCCTTCGAAAGAGGCCATACACTCTTGTTCCAGAACAAGACCTGCGCCCATGCGACCATTTTCCTCCTCCCCCGCCGCCCTCGCCGTCTCCCCATACCGAAGAACATTACCCAAGACCATCACAGAAGCATCCAAAAGAACACAGGCAACCGCTGCTGCTTTCACTTCGTGAGTTCCTGTGCCCACTCTCTTTGTTCCAAGAATATCTCCTTACCTTTGGCGCCATCAGACCAACAAGGCCAATACCAAGTCCAGCTTTCAATCAGGATTACCGAAGGAACGATGTATCGCCATTGCAGAACCGTCAATTGCCCGAGATGGACGACTCGTACGTGATGCACCGGCTTTGCTGCTTTTATGTACGCTTACATATTCTTTAGGTTCATCGGGCTTAATGGTGGAGAAATCTTCCACGAAATGATGCTCAGACTAGGTGTCAAGCATATTTGTAAGTGCAACGGTTTGCCCGCATGCCGCTGCGGGAGCTGATGAGGTGGACAGTTGGCTATCCTGGTGGTGCGATTTTGCCTGTCTTCGATGCGATCTATAACTCCAAACATTTCGATTTTATCCTCCCAAAACATGAACAAGGGGCTGGTCATATGGCTGAGGGCTATGCTCGGGCTTCAGGGAAGCCTGGTGTCGTTCTTGTCACTTCTGGTCCTGGCGCAACAAATGTGGTCACACCAATGCAAGATGCGCTCTCTGATGGAACACCCATGGTTGTTTTCTGTGGTCAGGTACCCACAACCGCTATTGGTACGGATGCCTTTCAAGAAGCCGACGTGATTGGAATTTCGCGAGCTTGCACGAAATGGAATGTTATGGCCAAGAATGTTGCAGAACTGCCAAAGAGAATAAAGGAAGCATTTGAGATCGCGACTACCGGTCGGCCAGGCCCTGTCCTGGTGGACTTGCCCAAGGATGTGACAGCTGGCATCCTACGGAAACCAATTCCGATGCATTCCACAATTCCCTCTCACCCTTCTGCTGCCACCGTCGCAGCTAGAGATCTCTCAAGACGACAACTTGACGAGGCCATCTCACGTGTAGCCAGGCTGTTTAATGTGGCGAAGAAGCCTGTCATATACGCAGGACAAGGTGTGTTTGGTCACCCAGACGGAACGAAGGTTTTGAAAGAACTGGCCGACAAAGCCTGCATCCCAGTTACCACCACCTTACAAGGATTGGGAGGCTTCGACGAGCTAGATCCGAAGTCTCTACATATGCTTGGTATGCACGGTTCGGCATATGCAAATATGGCCATACAAGAAACGGATCTCCTCATCGCTCTTGGTGCTCGCTTCGATGATCGTGTGACCGGTAATATTGCCAAGTTTGCACCTCAGGCTAAGGCCGCTGCGTCAGAGAAAAGGGGAGGTATAGTCCATTTCGAAGTCATGCCAAAGAACATCAACAAGGTTGTGCAAGCTACTGAAGCAATTGAGGGGGATGTCACAACGAATCTCCAACAACTGATCCCACAAGTCAACGCTGTCAGCTCAAGGCCTGAATGGTTCGAACAGATCGATGACTGGAAGACACGATTTCCTCTGTCAAATTATGAGAAAGAGACACCGGAAGGACTTATCAAGCCCCAGCAGCTGATAGAAAGGCTTTCAAATCTGACAGCCCACAGAAAGCACGAGACGATTATCTCTACAGGTGTCGGGCAACATCAAATGTGGGCAGCTCAACATTTCCGGTGGAGACATCCACGAACTATGATCACTTCTGGTGGACTTGGTACCATGGGATATGGTCTTCCTGCGGCTATCGGCGCCAAGGTGGCGAGACCAGATGCATTGGTCATCGATATTGATGGTGATGCCTCTTTCAACATGACGTTGACAGAGCTAAGTACTGCAAATCATTTCGATATCGGAGTGAAGATAATCGTCTTAAACAACGAAGAACAAGGCATGGTGACTCAATGGCAATCCTTGTTCTACGAGGACAGATTTGCACATACGCACCAGAAGAACCCCGACTTTATCAAGCTTGCAGAAGCCATGGGTGTGCAAGCAAGGAGATGCTTGAAGCCAGCTGACGTTGACGAGTCCCTGGAGTGGCTTGTCAATGGCAGTGGAGATGGACCAGCGTTGTTGGAAGTTATTACAGACAAGAAGGTGCCCGTTTTGCCCATGGTACCCGCTGGAAAAGCTTTACATGAGTTTCTAGTGTATGATGAAGGTAAGTCAATCAGACTTCTGATCAGATAAACCAACGGCTAATGCATCGTTCACTTACAGTCAAGGAAAAGGAACGGAGGAGAATTATGAAGCAGCGAAGCGGTCACTGATTCCAACTTTTCAGACCCTTGTCTGTTGTTCAGCAAGAACATTCTCGACATTGCGCTGGCACCAATATCTTACTCACTATCTCGTTCTACCGCACTTGCACATCTAGCTATTCAAAAGTCAGGGTCGATCTCGGCGTTTCCTTTGGCGCACGCGCAAAACGGTGCGACAAGGGCGATTGTTTTGCTTTGCTGTGCTTCTGCCACATCTACACAAAATATTACAGGGAATGGATCCCTGAGCAAAGTGGTGCGTTGTTGCATGGCCATAAGGCCTCGAAGTTTTAGCCCTGGAAGCAGATGGAAGGAAAGCTCTTGGAGAGTTGAGACGAGCCCAGTATATGAGGTCGCAAGTCGGCGCAAATTGATACTAGAAAAATAACGGGAGAGAGAGGGGGCTTGCGCGAATCATGACAGTTGAAATTAGCAACATACTACTAGCTATCACATATCAAGATCTGGCTATCACCCCAAAATCCGTGTGATCACTCCAAATCATACACCAGTAAGACTTCTGAAATCGACTTGCCCCCCTACTAACCAGACTTATCTGCCTGCCTCTTCGGGCAATTCAATGGCCATTTGCCCCCCTCTGCCCAGTCGACTTCTCTTTTGTTTTCTCCTCCTAACATGCCCGCACGCTGTGGGTTTGGGCAGCTAGTATTTATCCATGCAATACGTTTTTGGTACTATTTCTTTTTGCTTGCGTTGGCCGTATGGTGCAAGGTGGTTGGGAGGGAACTTGAGAGCTACGGTATCGATGTTGATGTCTGTAGACAAGTAGGTATACAGGCTTGAATCATTGAGCAGCATTATTCAAAAACCAGATTCAGATCCAGATCCAGGACCATGCACCGCAAAACCAACCCAAAGCGAATTTCCCAACCTCGCAAGCACCGGCGCCTAACATGACGGCTTTTACACCGAGGGAAAAAAAAAGTCGCCTCTTAAGTTGCTCCGTCTGACTCATCCATCAGGCCGCAATGCCTAGCCCCGCCTCCTCCTCCTCCAACAGCTCGCCCTCCACCTCGCCGCCGACCCAGCCCTCAAACTCCTCCAAGCCGCGCTGCACGCGCACCTTGAAGCGGACCACCTCCTCCAACACGGCCTCGACGCCGCGATGCAGGCCCTCGCGCACCCTGCCCACATCGCCCTGCATCGCCTCCCACAGCAGCTGGGTCTCCATCTCGCGCTGCTCGAGCCGCAGGGCGCCCTCGTCGATGCCGCGCCGCATGCGCACCAGCTCCGCCTCCAGCTTCTCCGTGCTGGCCGTGTACTGCGTGTGCTGCGTGGCGGCCATGTCGTACTGGGCGTGGTAGGCGTGTTCGGCGAGACGCACCGCGTGGGTCAGCGTGTCGATCTCGCGGTTCTTCTCCGAGAGCGCGTCCGAGAGCGAGGTCAGGAGGTCGAGGTGCGTGAGCGTGCTGGAGTGGAGGTGTTTGCGGCGGCTGGAGATTTCTTTGCGGAGGCTGAGCAGGGCGGGGCGGATGGTCGGGCGGAGGCTCGGGTGTGGGTGCAGGAGCGTGCTGGCGCTGTGGCCGAGGTTGGTGTCGGCGAGTAATCGGTCGGTTTCCGGGGTGTGGTGGCGGCGGTGCGAGGTCGAGGTGGAGTTGGAGAGAGAGGAGGAGAAGGCTTGGGTGAGGTTGTTCGTGTCGGGCAGGTTGAGGCTGAGTTCGTAGCTTTGCCCCTTGGCGTTCGGAGCGGTGGAGGGGATGAGCCCGAGTTGGTAGCCGAGCGAGTTGTAGCGCTTGATTGCCGCTTCGAGGTCTTCCAGTTTGCCTGCTGTTTCCATTTCTTTCTCTAGGACGCGCCTGTTGATCTCGTCGAGGGCGGCTTGGATGTCGTCGAGGCTCTTCTGGAGTCTTTCCCGCTCTGTGTTCATGCGGTCAATATCTTGGATGTTGAGGCCTTGTTTGTCGACCGCTTGCTGCAGTTCGGAACGTTCGGCCTCGGCAGTGTTGAGCTCGATGTCGGTTTTCTCAATCTCGCTATCGAGAATCTTGATTCGAGACTCGTACTTCTCGATCTTCGACTGCACATTGGAATTGTAGTCTTCGAATTTGCGTTTATCATCTTCCAGAATCTTGAAGTGCTTGTCCAATTTTGCAATGTCCGGTGCAGATTTCTCCACCTCTTCGATCTGTGCCTTCAAAGCCTTGTTCTCTGCTTCGTACATTTCCAGCTCTTCCGCAAATTTGGCGTTGCTTCTCTCAAACTCAGCGGTCATGGCTTGCACGTGAGGAATGAGCGCATCTTCTGCATTGTCATCATCGTCCGGACCAACTTGAAGCCAGTCTTGGTATGCATGGAAAAGAAAGCGGGAGACAATTCTATCTCCGGAAACATCCACACCAGCTTCCGCGCATGCTTGATCATACGAGCCTGAGTTGTACCTGTCCATCATCTGCGCGAGCTGCATCATCCAATGAAGCAATCCCAGAAAGGCAGACCAGTTCTGGCCGCCTACTGCGGTGATCTGACTTTTTGAGATGTTTTTCTCGTAGGGATATCGTAGTTGCTTTAAGATAGGAGGCACCTCTGCATCCATGCCCTTCTGGAATCTATAACCAGGATCTAATCGCCGATATAGCCATTGAAAGATCTGATTGAAATCCTTCTGGGTCGGTGACTTCAACGATCTTTCAGTCAAGGAATGCTTCATCTCCATCTCGAAGTTATTGTGTGTCAGGTACTCCAGAAGCTCTTGCGATATTTTGTCTTGGTAGACTCGAGACTTCAGTGGTCGAGGATCTTCTGGCTTACCTGCTGGTGGAGGTGGCTGGGTAAAGAACGATTGGTGCGAGATTGGCCCACCATTGGATGGTCGTGAGTATATACTGCTCCGCCGCTGTATGCTCGTAGAAGCAGGAGTTTGCTGGGTAAACATCGCGCTGGGCGCAAGGGACTGTCGATGTGTGCTGCTGCTTGCGAAAGGATTATTGGAGACGGAGCGCCTGGCAGTTGACATGCCCATATCTGCAAGATTACTACCAGACGAGGATCGCTGGAAGTTTGGCTGCGGTGGTCGACCCATAGCAGGGTTTACGGAGGTCGACCGCGCATGTTGGGCTGTAAATGGGGCATTGCGTAGGTCGGTGCTTGAGCTTGAGCGCTTGACAGCGGAGGCCGGTTGAGGTATGCCGGAGAAGTTCTGAAGGTTGCCTAGAGTCTTTCATCGTGTCAGCGACTATCTCCTTGCCATTCCCAACCAGTTGGTTCGAGCGTACCTCTCTTGGTCTGCGCACACTGAAGAGTCCCGAAGGTTGCGCCATGTTGAGATGCGCCAATGCGCTGAGCACGGCTCGACTTGAGATTATTTGGCGAACAGGCGAACAGACGAACAGCGTGCACCCCTAGTGATGCCTGAGTGTGGGTGAGTATTTGCGCGGCGTTGGGTATAGGGTGCTGGATGTCAGGTCTATGGCCATGAATTGATGCGACTGACAAGCTGATCGACCCAAGAAGTAAACAAAGCTAAAGATTTAGGCTTCCGGAAAAACCACAACTCCTGATCGCCAAGACATAACCTTTGCACGTGCAGGCTCCCACCGGCACTGCATGATACCAGTACCACGATACGGAGTACAGCTTGCGGGCGATGCCGCATTGTGCTGAACCTACCTCTGTTATCTGCCGGTAAGGGCTGAGCGGCATCTTGTGCTATGGCTGGACACTCGCTGCCTGATTGACTTATAGCAATAGTTGGAGTGCACTTTTGGATGGCTATTTCCTTCAGTAGTCTAGGTTATTCACATGCCAAGTAGAGTAAAATCTTCCCTGGCCTCACTACCGGTCTAGGCCTAGGGTAACGTACCTGACCCAGAAGTGCAACAGGGACCCGTTGCGCTTCTGGGTCAGGTACGTTAATGCCGCTCTAGCTCACCCTCGGGCTCAGCCTGTATCGATTTAGTTATTTCTAATAGTGTTATGCGCGTCAGGCATGCCAAGTGCGTGCCCTGCGCAGGGTATGAGGGCCAGGAAGACTCTACTACGTAGTACAGAGTAGATTCTGCATCATTTACGCATCTTCTGCGTCATTCTACACAGCTTCTTCGTTGTTCTGCGCATCAAAGGACTCAAGAGGATATCCTACTGCTTATATCCTTCTTCTTGTACATAGATTCTAGTTCTTCGCATTTAATAGGTCAATCCATCGACCCCTTACTGTTCTATCGCCCTTGCACTCCCCTAGGATCCTAATAAATAGTTATACGCTTTATCTTGCGCGTCCCTTCTGATACTCTATGTATTGTGCGTACTTGATGCTACTGCTCTTCTGGCTGCCATTGCAGCATAAGTCATTGTTCCGCTTGTTTGGCTTTGCAGCCCTTTGTTCTGGGTCTCCTTGGACATCTCTATGACCTTGCCGATCTCCTTCGTATCTTTCGGGACGACCTTTCTGCGTCTTCACGATGAAGGACAGCATGCCGAGGATGATGGTCTTGACGAGGTCGGTGGGTACGGGTTGGTTCTCTGTGTGTTCGATGCAGAGCAGAGTGTCGCGAAAGGTACTTGCTGAGATGCGTGGCGTGCTCGCGGGGTTTGGTCGGCCAGACTACCTCTTGAGGCCACGAAGTCGCTATGATGCCTCGGTCGCACTGGGCAATGCGCCTGATAGAGAGCTTTTCGTTCGACCTTCCGGATGAATATTTACCCGCTGTGCGTGGGCTTCAATTCCCAAAATTCGACTTCTCGCTGTTGCCGTGTTTACTTTCCTCGACTCCCACGAGCACCTAATTACGCGCCTTTCGCGGTCATTCCGGGCGCTTGTACGGAGTACTAGTATTCATACGTATTGTTGCCGCCTAAGGCACTCAGGCCCCCTTAGTTTAGTCATCTGGCAGCCTCAAGGGCTGCCATGTTATCAACCATTTCAGCAAGTTTCGAAACTACACGATCAGAGGCTTTCTATCACTTGATACCTATCTCCTCTGGGCGACACCCTACAGACACGCATTCCGAACGTCCCTTGAGGCTTACCGAGGAAGCTTGATAATTGATGTGACGTGCCAGGTTGGTTGAAGCCATGGCAGATGGTCGTGAATCACACCTACCAAGCGCAATAAACTTCAGCGCCCCAACGCAGGCATGGCCACTCCTGACGCAGGCGACACTCACGAGCCCCCCGGCGCTCCCGACGACGACGTGGACGAGGGGCTGAAGTTTCCATACACGGAGGTTCCGATTGACTCGGCGCGCCACCAGATTCGACTGCTCACTCTCCGCGCTGGGGAATGGAGTACGCCAGTGAGCTGCACCTTATCATCCGCTTCTTTAGACAACAAACCAGCATTCAAGGCTCTCTCATATGCCTGGGGGGATGACGATACGTCCGCTGACATCATCATCAATGGCCAGCCTTTCTCGGTGTATAAGAACCTCGACACTATTCTCCATCGGCTTCGCCGTGGTCCTGGAGGCAAGGACATGGTGTTATGGATCGATGCCATCTGTATCAACCAAGCAAAGAAGTCAAAGGAGGCGGTGGCCGAGAGAACATCCCAGCTGCAAATGATGGCGACCATATATTCGTGTTGTCGTGAAGTCCTTGTCTGGTTGGGGAACTGTTACACAGATCGACTAACTCCCGTTCGTTTCCTGACTCGAGACAGCGATAACAAGCATCTGCTACAAGAGTACGCGGCCGATTTCGAGAGGGACGCAACGACTCTGGATTACTGCTTTCATCTCGCTTGCTTCCTCTATCTGCTCAAAGATGCCGGCAGAAAGCTGGACTTAGCCTCTTACGAGCTGCCTCCTTTCTGGGCGTCTAGGGCAAGCCATCGTCTTTCTCGTTACAAGATCCCCCACCCCACGGAGGTATTCAAAAGAATCTACGCCAATCGCATGTATCTGCTATGCAGATATATCGGGGTGAGTTCCTGGACAACGCGCCTATGGACCTTGCAAGAGTACGGTGTTTCGCCGCAAATCACTCTCTGCTTTGGCACCGCTGCCGTGCCTCAGGAGCGCTTCTCTGACATGAATATAACAAAGGTCACGAATCACGGCAACGGAGACGATCTCCGGTACTGGAGTTCACTATTTTCAATCAGTTGTAACGAATTCGTGAGAGGACTCCATGAGCATATCTTGACTCGAAACTCTGTCGCGATATACCGTCCTCGAGCTCCAGGGTCTATACTGCCGGCAATTGTATCTACCGTCTTCAGACCAGTATTAAGACGGTTAACGAAAAAGATCGCACGAAGGGTGGCGCGATTTACCGTGTTCGAACTTGTCGCCACTTTCAGACAGGCCCAGGCTTCCAAAGGCCAAGACAAGGTGTTCGCCATTGTGTCGTTCATGACCTTTATGGGCTTGAAAGTTCCTGACGACCTGCAAATCAACTGCGAGCTCGACACGAGCGAAATCTACTTCCGCGTATCCAAGAACCAAATTCTCAAATGCAAGGGCGACGCAGAGGCGTACGAACCCCTTGCACCTCTGCGCTTCGCCCGAGAGAAGAACAAGCCCAAGCCCAAGCCCAAGGACCCCAAGCCCCTACCCATCGACCTTCCCTCCTGGGCCGTTGATTGGACAAGCTACCCGTGGGGCGACCAACACGTCATCCCAGCTGCTCTTGTTCGCAGTATGCCTCCAGAGCTGGCCCCATGGCTGCACTTGGAAGCAAAACCAGAGGTCCAAGGCCCTGAACCCAAGGAAGACTGGCCAGCGCGCTTGGTCTCTGCGGCGCAGTACAACGCAACCAAGGGGTTCGTGGGTGCTAACCCTTCCATCGAGGGACGCGTCCTGACTGTCTCTGGGATCGCCGTTGGTAGAGTCACTGAAGTCTTCGACTTCGCCGAGAGTTCGAAAGCCTGGAAGCTAGCATGGACCTGGCCTGCCCGCAGGGTGCCGCGTCGAGTTGGGACTACCCCAACAATGCGCGATCGCCGGGCCGCGGTGCTCCGGACACTTTGCGCGGACATGCTGGGACCGCAGGACTGGGCGGCTAAGATGGAGGTGTTCTGGTTGGAGTTGGGTGCCGCCTTTGAAGTTGCACTCAAGAGCTTCGAGGAGCCAGTTTCGTTTGCGTTTCTGGTGGATAACGTGAGGGAGATGATAGAGCGGCGGGTTGCGCGAGGAGGATGGACGGGTGATAACGCTGCTACGTTCAACGCCCCTAGATTTGTGGAGCAACTTGACAGCATGCTAAGATTCATGAAGATCATGTCGCATGGTAATAGTCTCTTTGTGACGGATAGCGGGCGGCTGGGGTTAGGCGGGAAGGATATTTCGGTACAGGAACAGGATCAGGTTTATGTGTTGTATCAGGGGCGGACGCCCTTTGTCTTGCGCCCAAGACAGATGGACGAGTCCACTTCGCGGTTTCAGTTAGTCAGTGAGTGTTTTGTTGACGGGCTGATGCAAGGGGAGGCCGCAGGACTTGGGGGTGACTTACAGCGCATTGAGATAGATTAGGAGTATTGTTGGGAGAAGGGCGATGCGCCCCGAGGTAGTAACAACGTGGAAATTTCCAACTTTACTACACAAAAGGGGATAAGCTCCTCGCTCCTCCATGCTGGACTCAAAGAGGACAGAATCAATGGGGACGGTGTTAGTATGTAAGCCGATGGTGTTTGTTTGAAAGGGCGAAAGTGGAGACCTGATCGGACGAGAGTGGCTGAATGAACACGCCCGGCCGTGAGTCCGCATTGAACAAGAGTGACCTGAGTTAGGTGTTCTGAGGGAAGCGCTAAGTTCTGGTCTGGCGTGTTAGGTTACAGACCCGACAGTGCATTTGTAAGCTTAGGTCAAGAATATTTAAGTACAAGTTTACGTGCCGAGGGAGTCGTGGCCCTAATCCGTAAGCTAAGCTGTCATACACGGATATGTTCGTTCATAAAATATGCCAAGACTTGTGCTTTAAGAGCACAACCGTCTCAGGGATTTAATTGTACCATACGGTCAAATCAAGTGAGTGAGCAATAGTAGAAACGAGGGTCATGACATGCAGTATCTGAGATACGTAACCGAAGAGCGAAGTAAAATAAATCTCAGTAGAGTAATTATTCAATTCTGTGAGTATACGATGATTTTACTATGATCCTGATTGACCTTAAGTCTGTCCTGGTCCGCCATATCTACTGGACCAAACTCGGTTTAAGCCTTCTCCGGAGCTGTTACACCCCTTCGGAACCTCGTCTCGGGCCTCACATACAACCTCCATCATCTGTGGAGGGAGAAACAGAATTCAGCCTCTACGAGACCAGTCAAAGATATTACATAGGAATATCTTGATCAAAAGACAGGAGCCATGAGCTTCGGTTTCAGCGCGGTTGATTTCTTAACTGTCATTCAGTTAGCCATTCAGGCTCAAAAACGGTTCGCCGACGCCCCAGCTGAATTCAGGGAACTTCAAAATGAGATTATGGGCCTTTCGAGTGTACTTCGTGATTTCGCGGACTGGAAAGGTAGTGATTCGGCACGGAAACTCAGCGATGATCAGCATTCACGGATAAAAGATGCGATACAAAATTGCGATCAAGTACTGCAGGATTGCATCAAATTGGCCAAGAGATACTGTGCATTGCGAAAGTGTTGCAATTATTTTGAAGCTATTGATGAGGATATTAAAAGTGTACACAGCGAAAAGAGCTTACTAGCGCTAACAGCTTATAAAAGAGCTCACAGCGAGGCCAAAATAGCCTCAAATGCGAAAAAGCTACGCGCAACTGCTAGTACACGCTAGCGAGCAGTTGAAGAGGCTATACAGACTATTACAATTAATTATATAGCAACTCTTAGTAAATGTTATATGTGTGAGCGACAAAGTTGTCCTAATTTTGGCAATTCTTGCTATAATCTGCTGTTATATAGTTATATTTGACTTAACAGAGAGCATCTTTAAGCATGGAATCAAGCCATTAAGGATGACCCTAGGGTTAGTATAGCGCATCCTCCTATATCTCTAGCTCAACGAATAAGTAGAGAGAAGGAGAAAGAGCTCACTAAAAAGCTACAGCCTCTGTCAACTCTACAGATAGCGTCAACAGCAAGTTTAGTGTTAGCTAGGGGTTTGACGCTTAACCTTAATCTTTCTAGTAGCGCTTAACAGTAAGATATACTGCCTCGCGAGTCTACTAATAATAAGGGTTGATATAGAGGTTTAGCAACATTATCAAAGGCTATAACGCCTTTATAGCCTCTTGTAACGCTGAGCAGCCTGATTCTATAGACTAGAGATAAAGATACTCGCCTTATTATATTTATTTGCTTGCGAATTAAGGATAGACTGGCTTAACAAGCTAAATTTAAATAAGCATTTAAGAAGTTAACTAAGCATGATATAAGTATTAAGGCTTAACTAGTAAAGATAAGTCTCAACTAGAAGCTGGGTCTAAAGAGTGTTGTTAGAGAACAGGAAGTGTAGTAAACAATACTAGAATGTCTTTAACTTAGGTATAAGCTAATAACATGAGTTGAATACAGATTAAGAAGAACTATCTGACTATCTGTGAAAGGAGTGCGCTTATATAGATAAGAGATTCGTATGCTCAGTCCTGCTCAGTAGTGAGCAGAGATGAGCAACCTGCATGTGCTCAGTAGTGCTCAGTAGTAAGCAGAGGTGAGCAACCTTAAGTGTGCTCAGTCTTGGCTGTTCATGAGCAACCATCCGGGTAGTCTTGTCCTAGTGTCTAAGCCTAGTGCCTAGCTCTGGGCTGTGTGGCTCAGGCAACCTTCCCTGACTGGGAGGCGCTGTAACACTATCCCCCTTCTAGTTAGTCTTCATCCTGAAGGCTAAATCTAGAGTTAAGAACTTTAGTAGAGGCATTCCTCTATCATCCTTTCTTGTCAGTATGCCCACATATAAAGTGAGCAAATCTTCTTTTACTTGTGACTATAAAGCTTTAGTTGCTTACATTAAGGCCCTTAAGGTAGCGGCAGACATGTTATATTCTATCTGCGAATCCTCTAAAGCACTTTATAATTTTTTAAGTTATTCTCTTAAGTACTTAAAGTATATCTATTTAAGTTATTAATATAATAATAATTTCTTAAAAAG